CCCTGCCTCCTTCAGTAGAGAAAAGAGCCTCAGATGTGCTGTTTGTCAGGCAGGTAGCTCTGAAAAAATCATTGTAAGTACTATTGAGCTATTGAGCAATTGAGTTAAATGAGTTATAGATAGATAGATATTGAACTATAGAGAAGCATATTGAGATTTTGAGCTATGTAGCATAAAGGACTATCGAGATAGTTATTGAGGGCTATTGAGATAGTTATTGAACACTGTTTGCTTCATCTCCAAAACTAACCTTGGGCTGGAATAGGGAAGGCCTATGCTTTCTAAAAGATAGTAGCTCAGGATTGGGGTAAAAAGATCTCAGGATTTTTTCTACCATTTGGAGAAAGGCAACTCAGTGACTAAGGAAAAAGAAAAAAAGAACATCTCTATGGTTTCACCAATTGACTGTTTTGTTTGTAACTTTGACAAGCTGTGCCAAGTCTGCAAGGACTTTGAGAAATAAATATTCTGTTTTGGTTTTCAAAACCTGTAGTAGCCTCAGTTGCTGGGAATCCCAAGCTTTTAAAAGAGACATCCACAGTTCACCCAGATATAGAGAGAAGCACATCTCAGTTTTATTTTATAGTGTCTGGGTGTGACGGCACAATCTACATTAATTCTACAGTGTAGATGAGCCCAGTGCTATCAAACTTCCCTATTAAAACTATTATCCGAACAATTTTCTCCAAGTCCCGGTGACACCACAAAGTGCTCCCCACCAAGAAAAGACAGTGCGTGTCAATAAAAGATATTCACTTACAGTTTATTTATTTTTTTCGCCTGAAATTATTTCACATCTTTTTTTTGTCCTTTTCTTTCTCTTACACAGCTACAGAACAGTAGTAGTAATCCATCGGTGAAAACAACAGTGCTACGGATAAAAGGTTGGCGTTACGTTTTATCTCCTTTTTCTTGTCTTCCCTCACTGAGTTTATCAGACAGCTTGGGACATAATAAGGCAGAAAAAACAAACAAACCCCGGCACGCGATATGAATTAAGACTTGAATTGTTTTTGTCGATGGAGATATATATATATATATATATATATATATATATATATATATATATCTGGGAGTCAAGAGATGTAGACTCGAAATGTGAATAAACTACCTAGCGACAAATTAAAAAAAAAGAAACAAAACAAACAACAACAACCAGAGACAACCAGAATAGCAAAAGCTTTGCTTCCCATTGAATACGATTAAATATATATATTTATATATATATATATTTATATATATGTATAAAAATTACATTGCCTGGATGTTAAATCTCTTGAGGTGCCAAAAGAACCGAGTAAGCATTTGCTAAACCCGAAAAGGAAAAAAAAACATGAAAACAAAAACGATTGCTTTCCTCATTTTTTTTAAAAAAAGAAGCTGCATATTGTGGAAAAATAATAATAATAATAATTCAAAAGCATATTTATTAAACAACATTAAAAAACATTTTCGTCATATAGGTATATATATTTTTCTGAATCAGGAAAGGGATAGTGGTCATACCTTCAGGTCGAAGCTTGAGAAACTGATCACAGCAAAACAATCTCCATCTTTTGAAAGGAAGGTGACGAAGGAACGGTGCAAAGCGGGAGCAGAGGGAACAACAAAAGGAGCAAACTTGGATTGTTGTGTGTTTTCTGGGCTGTATGACTATATTCCAGAAGCATTCTCTCCTGATGTTTTGCCTGCATCTATGGCAGGAATCCTCAGAGGTTGTGAGGTTTGTTGGAAACTAGGAAAATTGGGTTTATATATCTGTGGAATGTCCAGGGTGGGAGAAAGAACTCTTGTCTGTGAATGTTGCAATTGGCCACCTTGATTAGCACAGAATAGCCTTGCAGCTTCAAGGCCTAGCTGGTTGCTGCTTGGAGGATCCTTTGTTGGGAGGTGTTAGCTGGACCTGATTGAATCTTGTCTGGAATTCCCCTGTTTTCTGAGTGTTATTTTTTATTTAGTGTCCTGATTTTAGAGGGTTTTTTTTTAATACTGGTAGTCCAATTTTGTTCATTTTCATGGTTTCCTCCTTTCTGTTGAAATTGTCCACATGCTTGTGGATTTCAATGGCTTCTCTTTGTAGTCTGACATGGTGGTTGTTGGTGTGGTCCAGCATTTCTTTGTTCTCAAATAATATGCTGTGTCCAGGCTGGTTCATCAGGTGCTCTGCTATGGCTGACTTCTCTGGTTGAAGTAGTCTGCAGTGCCTTTCATGTTCCTTGATTCGTGTTTGGCCAATGCCACATTTGGTGGTCCCTATGTAGACTTGTCCACAGCTGCATGGTACACGGTAGACTCCTGCAGAAGTGAGAGAGGATCCCTCTTGTCCTTTGCTGAAAGTAGCATTTGTTGGATTTTCTTAGTGGTTCTGTAGATAGTTTGTTGGTTGTGTTTCTTTATCAGTTTCCCTATGCAGCCAGTAATTCCCTTGATGTCTGGCAAGAACACTTTTCCTCTGGGTGGATCTTTGTCTTGACTCTTGTGGCTTGTTCTCGGTCTTGCAGCTCTTCTGACGTCTGTGGTGGAGTCTCCAAAGGCCTGGAGTGCCAGTTTAGGGGGTTCAGTTCACCTTGGAGGAGGTGGGCTTTGGAGATTCCCTATGTGGTCAATAGTTCCCTTGATGTATGGTATTCACCCTATCTCGGAGCCCCCGGTGGCGCAGTGGGTTACACCCTCGTGCTGGCAGGACTGAAGACCAACAAGTCGCAGGTTCGATTCGGGGGAGAGCGTGGGTGAGCTCCCTCTGTCAGTTCCAGCTCCCCATGTGGGGACATGAGAGAAGCCTCCCACAAGGATGGAAAAATATCAAAACATCTGGGCATCCTCTGAGCAACGTCCTTGCAAATAGCAAATTCTCTCACACCAGAAGCGACTTGCGGTTTCTCAAGTCGGTCCTGACACAAGAAAAAAACCCTACCTCAAACAGAGGTATCTGGACATTCCACAGATATATAAACCCCATTTTCCTAGTTTCCAACAGACCTCACAACCTCGGGATAGTAAATAAAGAGCAACACTCAAAAAGCAGGGGAATTCCAGGCAATAATCAATCAAGGCCAGCTAACACCTCCAAACAAAGGATTCCCCCTCCAGGCAACAATCAGCCAGGCTTTAAAGCTGCAAGGCCATTAAGGTGGCTAATTAAGGTGATTAGGCATGTGCAATCCATGGTTCTAAATCAGTGGTTCTCAACCTGTGGGTCCCCAGGTGTTTTGGCCTACAACACCCAGAAATCCCAGCTAGTTTATCAGCTGTTAGGATTTCTGGAAATTGAAGGCTAAAACATCTGGGGACCCACAGGTTGAAAACCACTGTTCTAAATGGTTCTAAAGTACTTACAAAACAAAAATTCTGGTTGTGAACACTAGGGGGCGCTGGTGCTTTGCTTCTGCAGTGTTTCTAAAGCTCTGGTGGTGAAAATTTCAGAACTCTAACAAAACTTTCAAAATTTCATTATTATTTCACTATCTCAAACTCAAGGCCAATGCCCACCAAACCCTTCCAGGATTTTCTCTTGGTCGTGGGAGTTCTGTATGCCAAGTTTGGTTCAATCCCATCGTTGGTGGAGTTCAGAATGCTCTTAGATTGTAGATGAACTATAAATCTCAGCAACTACAACTCCCAAATGACAAAATAAATATTTTTGTGTGAAGGACATACATTGGGTTGTTAGGTGTCTTGTGTCCAAATTTGGTGTCAATTCCCCCAGTGGTTTTTGAGTTCTGTTAATCCCACAAACAAACATTACATTTTTATTTATATAGATTACATCTGTTATGATTTTATTGATGTTAAAGTTTTCATATTGTAACTGTGTTTTTGGTTTTGAATTTTGGTAATTTTGGTATTGAATTTTGCCTTGAGTCGCCAGAAGGCTAAGAGGGGAGGTATACAAATACTGTAAATAAATATTTAAGGTGGCCATTTGCAGCATTAAGTAGCCTTAAGCACACAAGAGTTCTTTCTCCCACCCTGGACATTATTCCATAGATATATAAACTCCACTTGCCTAGTTTCCAACAGACCTCACAACCTCTGAGGATGCCTGCCATAGATGCGGGCGAAACGTCAGGAGAGAATGCTTCCGGAACATGGCCATACAGCCCGGAAAACGCACAACAACACAGCGATTCTGGCCATGAAAGCCTTCGACAATACAGAGCAAACTTGCCTTTGAAATATCGGACGCGAAACAGAAAACTAAACAGGCACGCCTTGGCAAATCTAAAGTAAAATTGTCGACAGCCCAACTTAAGTTTTACATTAAACTTAAGGTACTTTTAAATATATATATATAGATATATAAAATTAACATTTAAAAAGGTTTCCACCTTAATTTCCTAAACCAGACACAGTTTGAACACATACCTTGGCTAAAACACCCTCCACTGCCCACCCGCGTCTTTTCACTACTTTATATCCCCCCCCCCCCCCCGACTAACACGTTTGAAGTCTTTGATAAATCGGAAACACGACGAAGGGTGAGGTCTGGACCCAAACTTTCTAAAGACAATGATCCAAAGAGGGTTTTTCTCTGTTTTTGTTTCCTTTTCGAAACAAATACACACAAAAGAAGATGGCGAACTAGTTGACAACAGTACTCTAGGCGGAACGAACTGAACACAAAAAGTTAACTCATAAATAAGAGACAGGTCCCAGACCTGTTATCGGTGAACCATTCGTTTTCTTCTTAAATAGGTGCATTATGTAAAATTGTATGTACAACAAAATTACTTTGCATAATGATCATAAGAAGAGAGTGAGAGGTGAAATCATAAGTTGAAATTAGGAGTCTCCAGTGCCGGCAGGATGTTCGAATCTGGGGAAAGCATGGATGAGCTCCCTCTGTCAGCTCCAACTCCCCATGTGGGGACATGAGAGAAACCTCCCACAAGGATGGTAAAGCATCCAAATATCCGGGCGTCCCTTGGGCAATGTCCTTGCAGACGGACAATTCTCTCACACCAGAAGCGACTTGCAGTTTCTCACGGAAAAAAAATCTCTTGCTTTCTCAGTTTCTTTTCTTTCTTTTCTTATAAGAGCAGGAAAGATGAAAAATAAAGCACCGAATGATGAGATCCGTCCCAAGAGAAGTACGAAAAAAACCCCGACGTACGTTAGATTTTCCTCCCTTTCCATGAAGGGTTTGAAAACACACACAGAAAGCAAACAAAAAATAATAATCCAAACAGATCGCCACCCCTTCGCTTTTTCTCCCAATCGCTTTCGCGGCTACAGTCTTGCTTCCCACCCCTAACCATCAAAGAAAAATCCCCATTGATTCAAAAGGATGTTGGGTTTCATTGTAGAAAGCGGAAAGTCTTGGGAGACCCGGCCATGCGCTCACTTTCCCCCTCCCACACACAAAGCCACACTCTGCGACCTCACAAAGACAGCTCCTAAATCAAAGTCCTCCAATCTGGCTGCTCTCTCTAAGCCAAAAGTTTATTTCTCTGCTTTTTTTTTTTTTTTAGTTTTAGTTGTCGTTTTTCTTTTTCTTAAAAAAAAATCCTTTTCTTCCCTTGTCCTCAAAAGCAAGTTAGAGGTTTCACCAGGCCTCTGTGTAGCGGACATCCACGTCCTTCAGATTTGGCAATTTAGCCTGGATTGAAAACAGAAGTGGGAGAGAAATATTTATGTAATCATTTATTTACAACATTTATATGCTGCCCTTCTCAACCCGAATGGTACTCAGAGCAGCTTACAAGATACACACACACACACACACACACACACACACAATATATTATATTACTAGCTGTCCCCTGCCATGCATTGCTGTGGCCCAGTCTGTGTATATGTGTTTTGTGTGTATATACATGCATATATATGTGTATATATATATATGTATATATTTGTTTGTGTATATATGTAGGTTTGCGTGTGCGTTGTAATGTATTTTTTGTTTTTTGGCTTTTAAAGTCTCTTTGGCTGTGTTTTTCAGTGTTCTTACAGGTGATGGTCACTCGTTGGCCTGATAGGTGTATTGTGTCCAAATTTGGTGTCAATTTGCCCAGTGGTTTTTGAGTTATGTTAATCCCACAAACGAACATTACAGTTTTATTATGTAGATTAGCCCTCCCCTTCCATGTGTTGCTGTGGCTCAGTGTGGTGATCTGGAAAATAAAATAATGAGAAAGTTTTGGTTTCTAATATATGTAATTTCTTTATGCTTGTGGGTAAACAGTATTTCTTGTTGTTTCTTTGTCAGTGTCAATGTGGACAGTGTCTGGTTTGCCCACCCTGGAACATGCAAGATATCATTGCCCTTCTTTAGGGGTCCCTTTCAAGTCTATGATACCATATCTCTCTCTGTGTGTGAATCATATATATCTATTTATATCTATGGCTGGATGGCTCTTTGTCAGGAGGGCTTTGATTACATTTTGGCCCAATTCTGTCATTCTTAGGGTTCAGAATGCTCTTTGATTGTAGGTAAACTATAAATTCCAGTAACTACAACTCCCAAATGTCAAGGTCTATTTCCCCCAAACTCCATCTGTGTTCATACTTGGGCATATGGGATATTCGTGCCAAGTTTGGTCCAGATCCGCCATTTTTTGTGTCTACAGTGCTCTCTGGATGTAGGTGAACTACAACTCCAAAACCAAAGGACACTGCCCACCAAACCCTTCCAGTATTTTCTGTTGGTCATGGGAGAACTGTGTGCCAAGTTTGGTTCAATTCCATCTTTGGACACGTTCAGAATGCTCTATGATTGTAGGTGAACTATAAATCCCAGCAAATACAACGCCCTAATGACAAAATCATTTTTTTTGAGTGAAGGACATACATTGGTTGTTAGATGTCTTGTGTCCCAATTTGGTGTCAATTTGTCCAGTGGTTTTTGAGTTATGTTAATCCCACAAATTAACATTACATTATTATTGAAATAGATTATCATAGTACAACATCAGTATTAAATATCACTATATTATATATAAGGTAAAGGTAAAGGTTGTCCCCTGACATTAAGTCCAGTCATGTCTGACTCTGGGGTGTGGTGCTCATTTCCAATTCTAAGCCGGCGTCGTCCATAGACACCTCCAAGGTCATGTGGCCGGCATGACTGCATGGAGCGCCCTTACCTTCCCGCCGGAGCGGTACCTATTCATCTACTCACATTTGCATGTTTTCAAACAGCTAGGTTGGCAGAAGCTAGGGCTGACAGCATAAGCTCATGCCGCTCCCCAGAATCGAACCTGCGACCTTTCGGTCAACAAGCTCAGCAGCTCAGCGCTTTAACCCACTGCGCCACCAGGGGGTATTATACTATACCATTATATTGTAATATTATTAGTAATATTACATGTAATATGAATATATAATTATAATATTATTAGTAGTATTAAATTACATTATAATATTATAAATATTATGTGTTTATACAATATATTATATATTATATTATATATCTATACACATAATAAAAGTGAAGGTATGTCTGTGTGTGTGTCGCTGGAGTGCCCACTTACACAGACAAGCTCCTGCCTCCACAAACAACTATAGGTCCCACTACACAGGAGACACCAAAGGGCCTCCCCTCCAATGACATTGCAGGTTGTAGATAGCACCATGAACATGCCAATGTCCTCTACAAACACCATATTGCTACCACCCAAGTGAAGGCTTTCATATGGGGACAATTTCATCCTAGATTTGATGTGTTTCTTACTCTCTCCATTTGTGTGGAATTTGCATGACCCCGCCCACTGTTGTATGTCACCCTGTGATTGTGTCTGAGGATCATGCTGATTTGGATGATGGGAACAGGAATGATGTTCATGTACAAGTTGATTTTCATGATGGGAATGGGGATGTTGATTCGATTTCGATTGCAGGCCGGATCGAGGTCCGCAGCTTGGGTGACCTCCTAGATTGATCGCTAACTACAATCCCCAAATGACAAAATCAACCCCACCAGTATTGTAATTTGGATGTTTCTGTTTTTGTGCCAAACTTGGTCCAGTGAATGAAAATACATCTTGCATATGAGATATTTACATGACGATTCACAACAGTAGCAAAATTACAGTTATGAAGTAGCAAGGAAAATAATGTTATGGTTGGTGGTCAACACAACATGAGGAACTGTATTAAGGGGTTGCAGCATTAGGAAGGTTGAGAACCACTGCTCTAGAGCATTGCCATGACAGAATGCCTATGCCAGAGTGGCCATAAGTTCGAGTCAACTTGAAGGTACACAATAACAGATACGGCCTGAGCCTTGGAAACATAACGTACCTTGAGATCTTCATAGGTATCCGCTGAAAGCTTGGTGCTGTTCATATTCAAACTGCACAGGCTTTTCATAGCTATGGAAAATTTTAAAAATGCAGTATGTTGGATATATAAACATATATGGTGGCACAGAAACACTATCTGGAAGACCTATATCTTCCAATGGTAAGGTAAAGGGAAAGGTTTTCCCCTGACATGAAGTCTAGTTGTGTCTGACTCTGTGGGTTGGTGCTCATCTCCATTTCTAAGCCAAAGAGCCAGCGTTGTCCGTAGACACCTCCAAGGTCATGTGGCCGGCATGACTGCATGGAGTGCCGCTACCTTCCCGCCGAAGCGGGATGATCTACTCACATCTGCATGTTTTCGAACTGCTAGGTTGGCAGAAGTTGGGGCTAACAGCAAGAGCTCATGTCGTTCCCCGGATTTGAACCTGTAACCTTTTAGTTAGCAAGTTTAGCAGCTCAGTGGTTTAACCCACTGCGCCACTGGGGGCTCCAAATAAATTCCAATCTGTTGTTATATTATCTTGTTGATATTTACCCAGCTTACTTGTCCGAATGCATCCACCCCTACGTCCCACCTCGTAATCTAAGATCATCCAGGGAGGCCTTGCTCTCACTCCCGTCAACAGCACAGATGTGCCTGGCGGGGACGAGAGACAGGGCCTTCTCGGCTGTGGCCCCCTGCCTAGGGAACACACTCCCAAATGAGGTAAGATCCACTCCCTCCTTCCTGGCTTTTAGAAAAAAAATTAAAATCATGGTTTTGGGACCAGGCCTTCGGGCAGTAGAAGTAAATGTATGCAGCATTTTGGAAAGACAATGACTGGAATGGCAATTCGACGGACGAGACTGTTTTATTGTTTTAATAACTGTTTTATTGCTCGTGGATGTATTTTAATTAAAATTATGTCTAATCGTAGTGTATAATTGTAATTGTTTGTACTGGCATTGAATTTTTGCCATTACTTATGTGTAAACCGCTTTGAGCCCCCCTCTGGGTGAGAAAAGCGGTATACAAATACTGTAAATAAATAAAGAAATTTAAGTTGTTGTGTTAGGTTATCCATATTTCTGACTTCCAGCATCTCTATTAACCATTCTTTTAGATTTGGGGTTTCTTTCCCCCTCCAAAAGGAGCCCCCAGTTTCGCAGTGGGTTAAATCCCTGTGCCGGCAGGACTGAAGACTGACAGGTTGCAGGTTTGAATCCGGAGAAAGCGCGGATGAGCTCCCTCTATCAGCTCCAGCTCCTCATGCAGGGACATGAGAGAAGCCTCCCACAAGGATGGTAAAACATCAAAATATCCTGGCATCCCCTGGGCAACGTCCTTGTAGACAGCCAATTTTCTCACACCAGAAGCCACTTGCAGTTTCTCAAGTTCATGTGGCCGGCATGACTACATGGAGTGCAGTTGCCTTCCCACCGAAGCGGTACCTATTGATCTACTCACATTTGCATATTTTCGAACTGCTAGGTTGGCAGGAGCTGGGGCTAACAGTGGGAGCTCACCCCCTCTTCCCAGGATTCGAACCAGCAACCTTTTGATCATCAAGTTCAGCAGTTCAGGGGTTTAACCCACTGCGCCACCGGTGGCTCCATCTTCCAATGGATGGTATGCTAAAGCTTCCACACAGGCCTTTCGTATTATTTCCCCAAAAGACTTGACGTTTGGAGTCTTGATTTTGGAAAGGAATGCAACTTGTGATTCTGAAGTTGAAAAGCCACAAGTATTTTGCATTTCAAAAACATGGACATGATGAAAAGGAAGCTGAACGATATTAACCACGGTCTTTGTTGGCAACTGAAAAAACACCGGAAAAGTAGAAGCTAAACCCCACAACCAGTTTGCCTCCCCAAAGATCTTTCTCGACTCCCAAAGATCTAGAGGTAAGGAGTTTTCCTCTTTCTTCCCTCCGCTGCTGTGATGGATAACCGCAAGGCCATTGTGATCTTTAGTTTTTATGGCTCTTCTGGCAAAACTCAATCCCAGCCTTAGACTTGTGTCCATGTTTACACACAGTGTAAACACATGCACTAAAGCAAGGGAGGAAGTGCACAACGTTGACGTCAGGAGAGGCTTTCTTCTCCAACTGGTCTCATAACTCAAAGTTATGGTGAGGTCTGGGTCCCACAAAAACAGCCGGGGAGGCAAAAGCAAGTTTCAGTTATACCGCTGTGGAGGAGGGATCTTAGCTGGGTGGCCGACCACATGCTCTGCAACCATCTCTAGCTAATAGGACTATGGCTGTTACAGGTCCTGGAAAGGCATCACCCATAAAGAGGTAGGGCAGGAGATAGTTGACCAGTAGGCTTGTTTGTTCCAAAAAAAATATGGTTCAAAACTCATTCCGGATGTAGGGAGTGCTGGTGGTTTGATTCTAAAGCCAATTCGATTTTCACAGAAAAAAAATGTTCAAAACTTTTCGAAAGTCCTGCATGGTTGGGTCCAGTCGGAATCTTCGTAATTCAGAATAAATTTGAAAAAATTACCTTTTTGAAGCGATTTTGAAGTTTTTTTAGGAAACCTGAAGTCCCTTCCGAAGCTAGTCTCGCCGTTTTTCTTCCGACTCAGGAAGTGAGTTGGAAATTATTCTGGTCTCTGACCTCGGCTCAAGCCAGAGAAGCCAGTTTCAAACCAGGGAAGGCTGAATTTCCTCCCTTTGCTTTCCCCGTTTCTGCCTCAAGCCAGAGAAGCCAGTTTTAAACCAGGGAAGGCTGAATTTCCTCCCTTTGCTTTCCCCGATTCTGCCTCAAGCCAGAGAAGCCAGTTTCAAACCAGGGAAGGCTGAATTTCCTCCCTTTGCTTTCCCCGATTCTGCCTCAAGCCAGAGAAGCCAGTTTTAAACCAGGGAAGGCTGAATTTCCTCCCTTTGCTTTCCCCGTTTCTGCCTCAAGCCAGAGAAGCCAGTTTTAAACCAGGAAAGGCTGAATTTCCTCCCTTTGCTTTCCCCGTTTCTGCCTCAAGCCAGAGAAGCCAGTTTTAAACCAGGGAAGGTTGAATTTCCTCTCTTTGCTTTCCCCGTTTCTGCCTCAAGCCAGAGAAGCCGGTTTTAAATCAGAGAAGGTGAATTTCCTCCATTTGCTTTCCCCGTTTCTGCCTCAAGCCAGAGAAGCCAGTTTTAAAGCAGGGAAGGTGAATTTCCTCCATTTGCTTTCCCCGTTTCTGCCTCAAGCCAGAGAAGCCAGTTTTAAACCATGGAAGGCTGAATTTCCTCTCTTTGCTTTCCCCATTTCTGCCTCAAGCCAGAGAAGCAAGGTTTTAAACCGGAGAAGGAAGGAATTTCCTCTGCTTGCTTTTCCCTGCTCCTGGAGTAAAACAACTAGTAAAGACCACCCAATGAAACAGGAAATAACACTTTCAAACAACTAACGAAAGGATTCAAAAGTCTCAGGAGTTTCGAAAAGTTTTGAACATTTTTTTTCTGTGAAAATGGGAATTGACTTTAGAATTGAACCACATCCAAAACGAGTTTTGAACCGTTTTTTTAATCAAACAAGCCTATTCTCAAGTCACTCCTGCCATTAACAGTTTTATAGATGAACAGTTAAAGCAAGCCTGAGAGCATTTAATCACCACCCCCTCCTCCTCCACCCCGAATCCATTACTAGTCTACTTACAGCTCAGTGCCAGCAGGCCAGCATCTGTGACGGGTGTTTCACACAAGTTGAGCACTTGTAGCATTGTGAGGTGTTCGGAAAGAAGCCGCAAACCTGCATCGCCAAACTGTGTACAGAAAAGACAAAGCCATGTTTTCACATGGAGCAGAGCATGTCAGGAGAAAGGATTCGCTCATCAGTTTTTCCAAGGAACTTAGATGCTGCCTTATTTCAGATCTATCTGCAGTGCTGCCTATTTTGGCTGGCAGTGGCATTCCAACACTGAAACATCTTTCCTATCATTTCAGGTTCAGCGATCATGGTACAGCAAGAAGGCGAGACGCCAAGGCTAACTCAACATCTACATTATTTTTGGCAGACTATACAAAATGAGTCAAATCAAATACTAGGAAACGAGTGGGTCATAACAAAGGAAATAGTGGTATTAGGAAAAAGTGAGGAAATGGGAAATAAAAAGGAAATAAAAGAAGCAATAATTGAATGTGCACAAGCAGTAATAGTATTAGGGTGGAAAGATACATCAAAATGGACAGTTAATAAATGGTACCAATATATGGTGGAGCAAATGGAATTCGAAATTATGAATGTGAAATTAAATGATTTAAAAATCAATGAAAATAGAATGAGAGAAATGGAAGAAAGATGGACAAGGGTAAAGAACTATATCATGAATCAATCCAGAGATCAAGCCATAAGAAATAAGATACAAATGTTATATAGTATATAGGATGGAAATGTATAAAGATAAAGATTGTCTCAAAAAGAAATGAATATGTAAAAGAAAACAATCTTCGTGTTGGTGGTGGAAATTGTAAATGTTTTGTGTGTGTACGGTATGTATTTTAAAAATAAAAATTCAATTTTTTAAAAAAAAAGGCTAACTCAAGGCAAGCTGTTCCAACAGTAGCTGAACGAAGAACTCCTATCCATGCTGGCCCAATATCCATTCTTTCATATCCCATTCCCTCCCACCAAGTGACCTAATACTTCACTGGCTCTACAGCAGTGGTTCTCAACCTGTGGTTCCCCAGATGTTTTGGCTTTCAACTCCAAGAAATCCTAACAGCTGGTAAACTGGCCGGGATTTCTGGGGCCAAAACAGCTGGGTCAAATTGCTGTGGGGTTTTACACTGAAAAATGTTGCACTCCAGCTTTCAAATATGATTTTCATTTGGCCTCATGCCCTGACCTCTTCCCCACTTGCTTCAGGGCCTTTGGCAATCTTGGCAGGGTGTAACGAATCCCTTACCCTGGTAAGCTAGCTTAGGCCTAAGAGAGTGGGCCTGGCGAAGCCACGGCATCCATTTTATAGAAGGGAGATGCCATCTTAGGTTAGGTTTGCCTTAAGGGGGCATGTTCTAGTCTTGAAGGGAAAGCTAGAAGGCAAGGATTGGTTAGAATGATGGGGGCGGAGCCTAAGTGAGTTACTTTCAGAGATTCATTTCCTGAAGTAATTTTATGTGTGGAAACTTTAAGCCTTGTAACCCAGAAGTTTTAAGATCTCTTCACAAACATAACCACAAGCTTTGTATGCCAGATTTTTACTGAAACCATCAAGCATTTGTACCTGGAATATCCAAGTCTGTTCAAATAAAGTTCTTGTTATTTTTACCAACTTATACCAGCCTCAGTGTGAATACCTTTGTGGTAAAAGTGTTATTCAAGTCAACTTTTTACCAGCCTCTAAGAAAACTAGAGTAACACAGAGTGTGTTACTGAACAACCTCTCAATAGTACCTCAGCCTGTTCTTTAGTAATATGGTGGCAGTGAAACCCTTTTAAAGAATCATTTTTAAAAGTCTCTCGGTTCCAGTGGTTCTCAGTTCCTAACTGTTAAATAGACAGTTGGTCTAACAACTATTCTCCCTCTATATTTTTGATGAGCTAATCTGGAGTGGTGTCATCGTTATAATTTGGTAGGCTGCTGTGTGATCGTTATCATTTGGCTGAGCAGCGATGTGATTCGTTATAATTTTAGTGAAGCAGCGTTGGGACTTTTATTATTGAATAAAGGTCCCTACTTTTCCCCACGGATCGTTATACAGGGTTTTCTTTTGGCCACATTCTCCGCTTGCAATGGGCTCGTACCTGAGTTGACCACAGGTTCAGCTGCTTGAGCGAAGGCAGCTTGATGAGATGCTCTGCGCAGGCACTCGTGACGTTGGTGAAGGCCAGGCTGAGGTTCTCCAGGTTGCCGAAGGACCCCGAGCTTAACAATCGGGCCAGGTCCGCATCCTGAAAGGCAAAGGAGTGCACAGATCTGATCTTTTGCAAAAGAGGATCGGGACCAGCAGAGGATATCTAATCTCAACTTTTCCCACCTATGGTACAGTTCCTCTTTCTTTCAGCGTCAGCTAAATTTTGGTGACAACATCATATTGGTCTCAACCGTGCACATTGATATCCAGTACATCAAGGCACATAGGAGCCCCCGGTGGCACAGTGGGTTAAAGCACTGTGCCGGCAGGACTGAAGACCGACAGGTCGCAGGTTCGAATCCGGGGAGAGGCGGATGAGCTCCCTCTATTAGCTCCAGCTCCTCATGCGGGGACATGAGAGAAGCCTGCCACAAGGATGATAAAACATCAAAAATCATCCAGGCGTCCCCTGGGCAACGTCCTTGCAGACGGCCAATTCTCTCACAACAGGAGCGGTTGCTCCTGACACGACAAAGAAAAAAAAGGCACATAATCCACAATATCTGCTTTGAACTGGATTATCTGAGTCCACACTGCCATATAATCCAGTTTAATGTGGAAGGGGCCTAAGTCTAGGCATGTGCAATCCATGGTTCTAAATGGTTCTAAAGTACTTACATAAAACTAAAGTTCTGGTGGTGAAAATTTCAGAATTCTAACAAAAATTTCAAAATTTCATTATTATTTCATTATTGGTGATTTTTATGACAGAACCTCTTAGGAACTGCCATTTATAATTACATTTTGAAAGTTGTGTTAAGAGTTCTGAAAGTTTCACCACCAGAACTTTAGCAACACTGTAGGAGCAAAGCACCCACACCCACTAGTTTTCACCACCAGAACTTTAGTTTTGTAAGTACTTTAGAACGATTTAGAACCATGGATTGCACATGCCTATATACATTTGCCTGATGAACCACTATATTTTATTAGAAATGATGCTAATGCATATCTCACCAGACCAACACTGCCCATTTGTGCTCTAAAGAGGGTAGCTTGCTTGAGAAAGTAGCTAGTTAAGTGCAGTCAATAGAGGTTTACCAACAAGGCAATCCGCCTCCTATTTTAGCTGCTTAGCCATTATGTTCCACTGGAACAGGGCCACAACTACATGAAAATTTCACCTCATTAACTGGAAACATTCATTATCCCCAAAACTACTCTATGGCTCATTTTGCTTAATGCACAATATAGATCTGATTGAATACAGCTATTAGAAAATTAATGTAGAGATGATAAATGTGCACAGAGATACTTATGCTACCACCTGAATCATAAGCTAAAGAGGAGGGTAACTTACTGTGGATTTTGATGGCAGTGTTAACCGGGTAGGGCCTCCTTTCCTTTGCTGCAATAGAAAACAAACATACTGTTGCACCCCAGGACAGAAAAAGCCCTCTAACTTTAAACACCACACCGCTAGATGGAAAACAATCCTTTTATTGAAGATAATTGAAAAGCAATAAGGTAAAAACACTTTAAAGAAATAGATAAATCCAATTAGGTAGGAAGATAAGCAGAAACAAAGTAGTCCAGGGTAATAGTCCAGCAAAGACCATAAAAGCCAAGGCAAAACTTCCCAAACAAAATGCAAAGAATCAGGAAACATGAACCCAAGGCATGAATATTGAGCATAAAGTCCAAGAATCAAAACCATGAAACAAAGGCACTTAAAACATGAATTTCCCAAGTAAAACTTCCATGAACAAGAATGAGATCTTGACTTGATTCCAAACGATCTTTCATCCCGTACTTGGGACTTTTATCTCCTCGTTAGCTAAGTCCCTAGCATTCAAAAATTGGTTTCATTTTATCTGAGAATTTCTTATCTTTTTCTCTTGGAGCCTGGCAGACTGCCGAAGCCACTGTTCGGCTCTCCTGTTTTGACTAATCTCCTTGCGTCTATCTATTTGCTCATTATCCATTTGCTCGTTAATTTCTGCAGCTGGGCCAGGTGGCGAGCTGTTTTCATGTTCCCTATCATGGCAACTCTCTGGTAACAATTCAGAGAGCACACCATCATCCCCACATCTCTCAGGGAAACTACACTTTGAACAGGGATCTCCTGGTCATTCTCTGCCTCAAGATCACTGACCATCTTAAAAGTCAACTTGAAACTCATTGACATCACTCCTCACATCCAAAGCACCCTGATCCTGGAACACATCACAGGCTGAGCTCCAACACATGTAACTTCATGCAAACCATTGAAAGACTCTGGTTGTTATTCTTCTCTTCCTGCCTCTCTGTTTTCTTTTTCTGCTGCCAGCCAGCTGATTCTGTTATTGTTTCCTTATTTTTTTTCAACTTTTTGCTCTGCTTTTCCACTTCTGCTTTCATCCTTTTATACTTGCCTGTCCTATAGACAAACAGCCGTGTTATACACTCAGACAGCAGCACCATGAGATGAAAACAACGAGGAGGTGTTGGAAAACATGGTGCTCATTTTGGGACCAGAAATATTGTTTTCTGTACAGAGGATGTTATTTTTCTAAGCAGAGTAACCAGAATGTACTCGTGCCCATCCTGTGGAAATCCCACCATCTCATCTATATGGCAGCTATGTGAAGTTATGGGTTAGGCATATCCTTGTCACATGGGTCAATGTTTCATTCTCCTCCTGTGCGATAGAGGTTAATGGCACAGAGGATTTGACTTGCTTAAGAGCAACTAGTACCTGGAGAAGCAAAGCACAACAAATCCCTATGCAGACGTGCCTTTGAAACCTCCACCTCAAGGGTGCATCAAGAGGTTTAGGGCTTGTCTTAAAAAGCCCAAGGTGCCTCGAGGCTTATCCGAGTTTCCTCCAGCCCACCCAAAGACTCACCAGCTCCTTCAGCTCCCGCTGCCTGTCGCAGAGCTGCTCATACATTTTCTTCCCCACATCAGTGCTCTCGAGGGTTGAGATGATCTGCAGCTGGGTGTCCTTATTGTCAATAATGTTATACTCGAGCATCAAGCAAAGAATCTAGCAGGAAGAAAAAGAAAATATGTGAGAGGAAGTCATAGGGAGGAAGCAAGCTTGTCTCACAACCTCTGAGGATGCCTGCCATAGATGCAGGAGAAATGTCAGAGTGAGAATGCTTCTAGAACATTTCCTCTGTCTATGTACTGCCTGTTTTTGTTGTTAATTGTATAACAGCATTGAATGTTTGTGCTCTGTAATCTGCTCTAAGTCCCCTCATGGAGACAGAGCGGAATATAAATAAGGTACATCATCATTATTATTATTTCAAACACAACAAGATGAGTCCACAGCAGACACGCTGCTGGCTGTTGTAGTGGATCCCACGTCGGACACTTCCCAAGTGTCTAGGACTGTGTGATGTATTGGCGAATAATGTGTGCAGATCCCAGTAAGGTGGCCTTTTGCAGCTGGCAGATGGTAATTTTGTATTATTATTTGATTCACAACAAGATGAGTCCACAGCAAACAAGATCACTCTGCTGGCTGTTGTATTGGATGCCATGTCGGACACTTCCCAAGTCTCTAGGACTGTGTGATGTATCGGCAAATAATGTGTGCAGATCCCAGTAGGGTGGCCTTATGCAGCTGGCAGGTGGTAATGTTGTCAGCGCTGATTGTGTTTAAGTGCAGGCCAAGGTCTTTAGGCACTGCACCCAGTGTGCCAATCACCACTGGGACCACCTTGACTAGCTTGTGCCAGAGCCTTTGCAGTTCGATCTTTAAATCCTCATATTGTGTCAGCTTTTCCAGTTGTTTCTCTTCAATCCTGCTGTCACCTGGGATTGCGACATCGACGATCCATACTTTGTTTTTCAACACAATCGTGAGGACAGGAGTATTGTGCTCCAGAACTCTGTCTGTCTGAATCTGGAAGTCCCAGAGGAGTTTGACGTGTTTATTTTCTGTAACTTTTCCAGCTTGTGATCCCACCAATTCTTTGTTGCAGGCAGATGGTGTTTGTGGCACAAGTTCCAATGAATCATCTGAGCAACGGTGTTATGCCTCTGCTTGTAGTCTGTCTGCGCAATCATCTTGCAGCAGCTGAGGATGTCATCTATTGTTTCGTCTGCTTCCTTGCAGAGTCTACATTTGGGATTTGTCGCCGACTTTTCAATTCTGGCTTTGATGACCTTGGTTCGAATGGCTTGTTCTTGGGCTGCCAGAATCAGGCCCTCCGTCTCCTTTTTCAAAGTTCCATTTCTGAGCAACTTTCATGTTTTTTAAAATAATAATAATAATAATTATTATTATTATTATTATTTGTGCTGTTGCACACTGGCCCTGAAATAATGTCTGTTTACAGGATGTGCCTTCTGTATGCCCAACGGGACACCGGGGTGCCTCAGCTGAAGGACCCCTTAGATTTCCCAACACAAAGTTCTATTGAGGCTCAAAATAAGTTCAACAAAGTTCTTTATTTGGGCTTAAATCTTCAAAGAAATGAATTAAACGCTTTATAACCTTGGAAACCTGGTAGCTTCCTTAATCTGCTATCAAGGGCAGGCAACCGGTGGAAAACTGTTCCTTTCTTCCTTAGGGAAATCTTCTGACCCCTCCTTGGGTGATCTTTCTTTACCTTGCTGGCGTGAGGTCCCTACTCCCGGCTCCAAGCTACTTTATGGATAGCCCGAGTGGTCCCTTACCAGACAAGATTTCTGTAGATCTGCCAAGCTGAAAGGTGTCCTTTAGTTTTACTCCACGAAGGCTGTAGGAACTGTCCTGTTGCCCCAGCAAAGGCTGGTGGTATTCCCCCAGCAAAGCTGTGGAACTATTCCTTTACTCCCCCAGCAGAGCTGTGAGTAGTGAAGCCTTTGTGCAGGTGGGATAGAGAAACCCACACGTCCTGCTGTTAGGCTCCAAACAGTGAGACTGAACAAAAGTCCTCCTTTGCCTCCAAAACGCTGGGAAAAGGGGCAGGTCTAAAGACTCTAAAGATGATTGCCAGGTTGCTGGCCCTATGGCTGCAACCTGGGGAAGCTACCTGATTGCAAAATGCGTGGCTTAAATAAATTCATACAAACTAGCAGTGCAAGAAACAAAAGGTTCAAATTTCCTGGCACTGCCGTGCTAGCACATTATTATTATTATGCAGGCCTGTTATAATCCAAAAAGTGGAGTAGAAAGCAGTATTGCGACACCTCTAAGATTAATTAGTTTATGTGTTACACCCCATATCTTCAGAAGCATGAAAGGGAGAGAAGTCCATTTGGTTCAGCATCTAATATTACGTAGTTATTTGCATCATGGTAAATGGAAAAGATTGGCTTTACCTCCACCATCGTCTGGTTGCCCCTTAAAGCGAGCAGCATGCATGGCCCCAGTTTGTTTTCCGCCAGCGAAAGGAGGAACTTTTTTGTCTTATAACAAGAGCCCATTAAAATATGAACCTGGAAGAGTGAAAGAGAGATCTAGGTTAAAGGGACAACCCTAGGAAAATGGCTCTGGGCCCAGTCGTTACCTCTCTTTGCTCAAAGGAGGTTTCATCATTGTCCCACCCAAGCTGCTATGGGTGCCCTGCTCTGGGTTCCCCTCTATCAGTCAGAATACAAGTGAAACAAATAAACAAGCCCCAGCCACATACCATATTGGCAAACAGCTCTCCGTCATCATCGCACGCCACCCCACCGGGACTGTAGAGCTGGAACCAACCATCCTTGCCAGCACGCACACTCAGCAAACACGAATGGACCTACCAAGCAAAACACAAGGCGACATGAGCAGCAGATATGCATGAGTAGTAGGCAGGTGGCAAGTGGGGTTTGCTGGGTCCGAGAAACCACAAATTATTTTTTGATCCCAAATGTTCAACAGCAACAGCAATCCCCTTCCTTGCAAAATGAGGCTTCTGATTACTTCGTCCTCACTTCTTGCAAAAGTCTACGTTGCGGTGAGATTAACACCGGTGCACAGATTTCAAGGTAAAATCAGAATGTAAATAATGCATCACCATGACAGATCCTGAACTGTTACGGCAATGTTTCTCAACCTTCCTAATGCTGCAGCCCCTTAATACAGTTCCTCATGTTGTGGTGACCCCTAACCATAAAATTATTTTTGTTGCTACTTCATAACTGTAATTTTGCTACTGTTATGAATTGTAATGTAAATATCTGATATGCAGGATGTATTCTAATTCTCTGGCTCAAATTTGGCACAAGTAACCAATATGCCCCAAACTGAATATTAGTGGGGTTGGGGGATTTATTTTGCCATTTGAGAGTTACAGTTGCTGGGATTTATAGTTCACCTACAATCAAAGAGAATTCTGAACTCTACCAATGATGGAATTGAACCCACCTTGACAAACAGACCTCCCATTACCAACAGAAAATACTGGAAGATTTTGGTGGGCATTGACCTTGAGTTTGGGAGTTGTAGTTCACCTACATTTAGAGAGCACTGTAGACTCAAACAATGATAGATCTGGACCAAATTTGCCACCAAACCCAATATGCTCAAATATAAACACTGGTGGAGTTTGGGGAAAATAACCCTAGACATTTGGGAGTTGTCGTTGCTGGGAATTATAGTTCACCTACAATCAAAGAGGGTTCTTAACCCCACCAATGATAGAATTGGGTCAAAATTCCCACATAGAAACCCCATACCTTGAAGGAATTCGCTGGTGTGAGCCTCCCCCCAGCCTCACATGCTCTTCCTTGCCTGCACATGTGCACCACGCTGCCATGTGCTGAGCATGCCTGCTCTCCCCTCTCTGCTTGGAGTCTCAGAAAAAGCTCTCCCCTGGCTGAGAGGCTGGCTGAGAGGCAGTGGAGGAAAACTTTTGGTGGGAGGATTCTCCATCTGTTTCCAAAAAGGAAGTGGACAGGTGGAGAGATCTTCAGCCTTCTCTGCCAAAGGGGTTCCTAAGAACATTATAAATATATATTTTCCAATGGTCTTTGGCAACCCGTCTGAAACCTTCCTGCAACCCGCCCAGGGGTCCACTGTGTTACGGGGATACATTCTTGAATTGCAGTTAGATTCTATCTTGGAGATCTATGACAGATCCCATAACAGATTCTGAACAAAGAGCCCCCAGTGGTGCAATGGGTTAAACCCTTGTGCCAGCTGAACTGCTGACTGACAGGTAGGCGGTTCGAATCAGGGAGTGGGGTGAGCTCTCATCTGTCAGCTCTAGCTCTCCATGTGGTGACATGAGAGAAGCCTCCCACAGGATGGTAAAACATCAAACATCTGGGCGTCCGTTGGGCAACGTCCTTGCAGATGACCAATTCTCTTACACCAGAAGTGACTTGCAGTTTCTCAAGTCACTCCTGACATGAAAAAAAGGAGGAAGATTAGTGCACCTTTATATATATCCTCGCCGATATATTGGACACCTAGTTCAGCCTTTGGACATTGTGTGTGATGGGTTATATTATGTTTATTTAAGTTGAATGATGCATTATTTTTATTTAGTTTTATAAGTTTATTTTGAGACTAGCCATCCCCCTGCCACGCGTTGCTGTGGCCCATTCTGTGTATATGTATTTTGTGTTTGTATATATATGTATATGTGTGTGTATATATTTGTGTATATGTGTGTTTGTGTATATATGTATGTGGCTTTGCGCATTCATTGTATGTATTTTTTGGGTTTTTTTTGGCTTTTTAAGTCTCTTCTGCTGTGTTTTTCAGTGTTTTTATGAGTGATGGTCATTTGTTGGGAAGTTTTCCCCAATTCTGTTGTTGGTGGGGTTCAGAATGCACTTTGATTGTAGGTGAACTATACATCCCAGTAAGTAAAACTCCCAAATGTCAAGGTCTATTTCACCCAAACACCATCTGTGGTCACATTTGGGCATATTGAGTATTCATACCAAGTTTGGTCCAGATCCATCATTGCTTGAGTCCACAGTGCTCTCTGGATGTAGGTGAACTACAACTCCCAAACTCAAGATCAATGCCCCCCCCCCCCAAACCCTTCCAGTATTTTATGTTGGTCATGGGAGTCCTGTGTGCCACATTGATGGAGTTTAGAATGCTCTCTGATTGTAAGTTAATTATAAATCCCAGCAACTACAATTCCCAAATGACAAATTTATTTTTTGTGTGTGAAGATCAGTCCTTGGGTTAGTAGGTGTCTTGTGGCCAAATTTGGCAGCAATTTGTCAAGTGGTTTTTGAGTTATGTTAATCCCACAAACAAACATTACATTTTTATTTATATAGATTTCTGTCAAAGGGAACAGTTTAGTTCCCTATTCTTCTGAAGTCTAAACGAACATTACATTTTTATTTATATAGACTAGCCGCCCCCTGCCACACGTTGTTGTGGCCCACATGGGGGTTCTTTGTGGGAGGTTTGGCCCAACTCTATCGTTGGTGAGGTTCAGAATGCTCTTTGATTGTAGGTGAGCTACAAATCTCAGCAACTACAACTCCAGAATGTCAAGATTCTATTTTCCCCAAACTCCACCAGTGTTCACATTTGGGCATATTGTGTATTTGTGTAGAGTTTGGTCCAGATCTATCATTTTTTTTAGTCCACAATGAACTACAATTCCAAAACCAAAGGACTCTGCCCACCAAACCCTTACAGTATTTTCTGTTGCTCATGGGAGAACTGTGTGCCAAGTTTGGTTCAATTCCATCGCTGGTGGGGTTCAGAATGCTCTGTGATTGTAGGTGAACTATAAATCCCAGCAACTACAATTCCCAAATGTCAAGATTCTATTTTCCCCAAACTCCACCAGTGTTCACATTTGGGCATATTGTGTAGAGTTTGCTTCAATTCCTTCATTGGTGAAGTTCAGAATGCTCTTTGATTGTAGGTGAATTATAAATCCCATCAACTACAACTCCCAAATGACAAAATCATTTTTTTTGGTGAAGGACATACATTGGGTTGTTAGGTGTCTTGTGTCCAAATTTGGTGTCAATTCATCCAGTGGTTTTTGAGTTCTGTTAATCCCACAAACAAACATTACATTTTTACTTATATAGATATTGTTTTGTTCACTATTTTGATGTGCTTTATCATTGTCACAAAAAAAAAATCCTGAACATATATAACTTTGTCTGACTTAAGAAGCCAAGCTGGATCAGACCTGGTTAGTACTTGTATGGGGAACTACCAGATAATACCAGAGATCTCCAAGGAGGGCTAGGAAAGAATCCCATCTGAGATACTGGAGAGCCATTGGCAACACTGGGATAGAATGAATGAGCGTCTGACTTAGAATAAGGCAAGTACCTCATTTCCTTCAAAATCATTACAGATAAGGCAGTGTCATGTCACCATAACCAAGGCTGCAAGAATCAAGTAACTAATATAAAGAAATGGAGTGTGCTTGGGAACCCAAAGGGACATAAAAGCCAAAACGTGCTTGCACCTTTCATTGTTACACTGTAAAGAGACTCACTTCTTGCCTTGGATCTTCTGCGAATCTTTGAATGACGTACTTCAGTTCCCTGGAAAGGGCAAACGGATAAAACAAAACAAAAAAGATGACTGTCTGTCCCACTTGCTTCCCAAATTTACACAGCTGTCACATTTCATTGTAGGTGCATTTTCAGTGATTGATATTGCTCTTCTGGAGGGGTTACAAGGAAACAAGTGGAGAAAACATTTCGCAGGAAGGAGTGGTGAGATCTTGCGTGTTGCCAAGATGGTGCTTAGGGGATGGGAAGGGGCTTTACAGCGGAGGCAATCCGTCTTGCACATTCTAGCAGTTGTTCTGCCTTCAAGCCTTAAAAGTTTCCATCCCTCCCTTACTCATTTCCAGAACTAATGTTTGTTTGTTTATTTATTTATTTGGTGTATTTGTATACCGCCTTTCTCAGCTCGTAGGCGACTCAAGGTGGTTAACAGGGTAAAATCCAATGCTTACAATATCAGAAATACAATTAAAAACATAACATATAATAAAAACTAAACAAATCAATAAATTATAAATTCATAGTGTCTTCTTGTTAAAAAGGTTGTCTGATTTCATTGTCTAGTCGTTCCATTTTCCTATGTCAGTTACTCTGCTTTTGCAAACGTTTGTCCAAAAAGCCACATTTTGACTGTTTTCCGGAATGTTAAAAGGGAGGTGGTCAATTTAATATCTATAGGGAGGGTGCTCCATAGCCGAGGGGCCACCACTGAGAAGGCCCTGTCTCTCGTCTCCACCAAACGTACTTGTGACAAAGGTGGTAACAAGAGCAGGTGCTCTCCAGATGATCATAAGGTCCTAGATGGTTCATAAGGGGAGATGCGTTCGGACATGTAAGTTGGGCCAGAACCGTTTAGGGCCGTGATGGTGAACCTATGACACGAGCATCAACACTGACACGCTTAGCTATTTTTGATGACACGCAGACACATGCAGCCGCATACAGAGAAGTGCACCTTATAAGAGCCAATCTAATTCCATCCTTAAATTTGTAAAAGGCTCTACAAATTTAACATCTGCACATTTGAGCATTGTTCACTCCATAATTCAGCATGGATTATACATTTTTCTTATTTAAACTATAAATATTGCAAAATTATGGTGTGTTTTTTTCTCTTGAAGTGACACCCCACACAAGTTATGCTCAGGTTTTGGGGGAATTTTGACACACCAAGCTCAAAAGGTTGCCCATCACTGGTTTAGGGCTTTATAGGCTAAAGCCAGCACATTGAATTGTGCCTGGTAGCAAACTGACAGACAATGGAGCTGGCACAACAGAGGAGTTGTACACTCCCTGAGCGCCGCTCCTGTTAGCAATCTGGCTGCCGTTCGTAGGACCATTTGAAGCTTCCAGATAGTCTTCAAAGGCAACCCCACGTAGAGCGCATTGCAGTAGTCTATACGGGAGGTAACCAGAGCGTGGACTACCGTGGCCAAGTCAGACTTCCCAAGGTATGGGCGCAACTGGCTCACAAGTTTTAACTGTGCAAATGCTCCCCTGGTCACTGCCGAAATCATTGTCAAAGATGTACCATTTCTCTTATAACCTCTTCATAACATTATACAAACTTCTGCTGGGAATATGTTACTTCAGATTTGAGGATGAGGTGTTGACTATTTGGGAGCTTCAACTAAAGGGCTAAGTTAGAAAATCTCTCTGTCTGAACCAAACACAGGGGACAATTTTAAGTAAATGGGTACTTACTTTGTGAACTTCTCATGTGCAAGAGCCCTGAAATAAAACAAATGAAATGATAAGTGATTTCCCTTCCTTTTTCCATGAACAGCTTTTTCCCAAACTAAGCATGAGTACGTGAGTTCAAGAAGCATTGAGAAACGATATGATCTGCAGTACAGGAATGGTGTAAACAATAATGCATGGAGGATCTGCAAATCTTGTAAAGTTCAGTTCATCCGGGTATTGGCCCATCTTTATTGTATCTATTTGAGAGTTTTTATAAAAATGTAGTTATTTAAAACATTTATATCCCGTCCTCGACTTCCACGGAGGGACTCAGAACAGCTTCCAAAACAGGCAACATCCACAAAATTAAAATAATTCTAAATATGCATTAAGAACCTGCTTGCCAGATTAAAATAATAAGAATTAAAATCGTCATCCAATGCAGTCCAAATCCGGTGCAATAAATCTTGTCTTTCCCAGTAAACAAACTATTCTGTGAACGCCTGATCCCATAACCAGGATTTAAGCTTCTTCTGGAAGGTCAGAAGGGAGGGGGCAGATCTAACCTCATTGGGGAGGGAGTTCCACAGCCGAGGGGCCACCACAGAGAAGGCCCTGTCTCTCGTCCCCACCAAATACGACTGCGATGGCGGTGGGACCGAGAACAGAGCCTCCCCTGTCGTTAGCCCCAGCTCCTGCCAACCTAGCAGTTCAAAAATATGCAAAAGCAGGCAGGTAACAGGACTCCATGCGGTCATGCCGGCCACATGACCTTGGAGGTGTCTACGGACAATGCCGGCTCTTCAGCTTAGAAATGGAGATGAGCACCACACCCCCAGAATCAGACACGACTGGACTTAATGTCAGGGGAAAACTTTTACCTTTACCTATGTATATAATACAAAGCTGAAACTGATCTGTAGGGAAATGCTGTCGTCAAAGAAGCTGATGGAAACTTTTCAGAGATGGTGGCACAAATTGCACATTGTAAACACCATTTTCTGCTCTGCCCAAGTCCCAAGTGTGTTCATTAATTGCCCTGCAATTAAGGAACGGACACATCTAATTAGCGTGACAGTCAAGCAATTAATGGTCACTCTCACAGAGTGCCTTGCTTCATGACACCAATCTCCAATCCCATTCCAGGGTCTTCCACTAGAAAAAAGGCCTATTTGCCATTAGGTAAAACGACAGCTGGTACACCCTCAGCCTTCCTGAAAGAGTAGCGTTCTCCGGCTCCAAGCCACTGGGGGACACAATAAGATGGCAAATAGGACAATTACAGGCTGGTAATGTTCGCCCCTGGGACCTGCTTTTCATAAACACTGGTGTCATTAATGGGTTTCAGAGGGAGGTGTTTGAGCTGCACTCAAACACCGCCTACAGAACAAGGAATGCTTTTGTTGTTCTTCTAATGCAGGGGTCCTCAAACTAAGGCCCGAGGGCCGGATATGGCGTTCAACTTGTGGTTTTGTGATACGAAATCCAGCATATAGGTCTCGTTTGCTTTGACATACTGTGTTTTTGTGTCAGAATAATAATAATAATAATTATTATTATTATAATTATAATAATAGTAATAATAATAATTATTATTATTCAGTCCTGGCCTTCACCAACTGTCTCTTGGTGCTGTCTCCATGGCTTCTTAGGAAAGCAAATTAAGCACCCCGCAAACGGAGGCAGAAATATGTGGCAGAAACAATACAGAGACATCTTAGACCATATTTGATTTGTACCGGACAGTTGATGTCTGAAGGTGCGTTTGAATAGGGTGCTATGACCAATAAGTGCCCCAGCCAAAGTGTCACCTTACAGCCAGGCAACTGGACTGTCTGAGCCAGCAAACCCAAGGAAGGAAGGATGGGAGATGCAGTCCAGCAGGACCTGGAGAGCCACACATTTCTCACTTCTGCCTTGGCTGTCTCAAACTGTGTTTGCCTATTTTTCCCTTTGGATTTTGAAAGAAAAATCCATGCCCTGAGCTCCAGCAAGTCTATGAGATTTCTTTGGACCGTTCTATCACAGTAAGTCATAGCTGGATCAAATGTGTGTTAAAGAAAAACCTTATGATGTTAATTATTATGTGCAGCTGGTAATGTAGGTCAGCTAGCTTGTTTGGGCCACACCTGGTGGGGTATAACTGTTTGGATTTTAGAATACAGTTTGGAGAAGCAATACGCTACCCTGAGGAGAATGCTGTTATGTCTAACAGCGATGCTTTTTGCTATGGTGGAATAGCTATTTACTCAAGGTTTATGTTTTGCTTTCTCAGTTGAATGAAGATGAAGAAGCCTTATTCTGTGTTACTTACAAGGACTATGTAAATTTGTTGCACTGTTTGATTTTGTATGCAACGCTGCAAGTTTATGCCTCTGCTGATAAGAATAAAGTTTTTTTCTGTTCCTTTTTCCTCTTGTTTGTGTGTCTTTTGCATGGGCATTGGCTAAAACATGCTTTGCGCAACACATCCTGGCCAATGTTCTCACCATCGCAAGATCTGGGGGACATTTGTCTAAAATTTTGCAAGAGGAAGAAACAGATCCCTCTCCAACGCATACACTCACACATATTTAGCTGAAAAAGAAGCTAGTTGATACGAACTTACTCTTTCGGGAATGGGATGGGTTGGAGCAAACTGGCGAGCGCTGGTCTCCAGTCATCATAGTCTGACCTGTAATGAAAAAGTTTTGTTATAGCCTAGGCACCAAGCACAACTTGCTTCTTAAGAAACAAAGAATAATCCACCAAGATAGGAATTCACCACTTTGTGAAAGAAATTTCTTATTCCAATCGGACATCTCCCTCCCAAACACCACCACTTCGACTGTTATCTTTCTGCAACTATCTGTTAGGTATTTGTTTTCTAATTTCCCAGTCCCTCTGGAGGCCTCATGCTGGCCATCCCAGCAGCAAGAAGTACTTGTGTGGTCCAAAAACAGGTGCATGCCCAAGCTTTGGAAGTGATGGACAAAAAGATAGTCCTGGTCTAAACCCAGGTATAGAAACATTTGGAGGGTAAATGCAAGAATATTCACAGTACCCCTGAACTGGAACCTCTCAGTTCACCATTTATAAAGGAGGAGACATCAACCAGAAGCAGAAAACAGCACTTCTCCAACTCTTAATGCCTCATGTCCACTTCAGTTGCCTAGAGCAACTAAGCAAAGACTTCTCTAAAATGAACCACACTTGTGCATGGCTTGTGCATGTGCAGTTATATCTGTGGTGCGAAACACCTGCGAAACGTGGACTGTCTACAGACATCACAGTCAACTCCTGGAACGATGCCATCAGTGTAGCCTCTGAAAAATCCTGCAATTCTCTTGGGAAGACAGGCAGACAAATGTCAGCGTGCTGAAAGAAGCAAAGACCACCAGCACTGAAGTGATGCTCCTACAGCATCAACTGGCCACGTTGACCGAATGCCCGATCACCGTCGCCCAAAGCAGTTACTATACTCCCAACTCAAGAATGGGAAACATAATGTTGGTGGAGAGGAAAAGAGATTTAAAGATGGACTTAAAGCCAACCTTAAAAACTGTGGCATAGACCCCGAGAACTGGGAAGCCCTGGCCCTTGAGCACTCTAACTGGAGGTCAGCTGTGACCAGCAGTGATGCAGAATTTGAAGAGGCACAAACGGAGGGAGAAACAAGCCAAGAGGACTAGGACTGCCTTCCACCTGGAAATCAATGTCCTCACTGCAGGAGAAGATGAGGATCAAGAATAGGGCTCCATGGCCACCTATGGACCCACTGCCAAGACACTAGACTTGGAGGACCATCATCCTCGGACTACGAGGGATTGCTTAAGTAAAGTAAGTAGGTATATCTATTGTGCAGGTACAGCTGTACCAGAAGCTCCCACTTTATTTGCTTTGCATCAAGTGTTTGTTTGCAGCCCAAGGCTTGGGATTTTGCAGAAGGGTGGCTTGCTGTTAAAGTTTGTAGTTACAGGGCAAGTCACCTGTCAATTATCATTAGGTTCCCCAGTCCCACCCCCTTTTTGGGCTTTGGAAGGGAAGTGAGCCATTTTGTTAGTCAGTCTCAGCCAGGTTAACTTTTGTATAGGATGTGTGTAATTTCCCCTGTACAAAGGCTTCAAGCTTTAAGAATTTCCAGGGTTACAGAAATCCCAACAGAAACAGAAGGGAAAGCAATCCAGGGGAGAACAGCTTTAAGAGACTCCTAAGGAACTCCAGGGAAGCATTCACTCAGCTTTGGGAATTTCCAGGAAACAGCCCTAAAGACTAAAGAACTCCAGCTGGAGAATTTCCACTGCCTTGCTGGTAGGTCCACTCAGGGTCCGAGAAGCAGTTCGGCCCAGTAGTGGAGCCCAGACCAGTGGGGGTTGGATTTCAATCAGCCTGGGAGAAGTTAAAAAGGGGTTTTTCTTTTAAAGAAGAAGTTACTGAAGATAGTTGCCTGTCCTTCGTGGGCAAGTTTAGGAATTCACCAGTTCCCTAGAAGGTTGGAATTATTTGCTTTACTTTGCTAAAGAGAAGTTTCTGTTTGATTGTTCATTTATAAAAGACTTTGTTGTACTTCTATAGCCATCTGAAGATTCTTTGTAGTGGAAACCTCTGAGAACTTCTCCTTAGGCCCCTGGCTTCCCGCTGGGCAAAGGTTACACATCCTATTTTTAAAGCCAACCAATTACAGGCCCAGTGGCGACAGAACATCTATGGTTTATGGAAAGCTTGTGAGTGGCATGGCGACACATTGCTAAACCTGTGCAAAGACTCCCCAAAGAGCTGCATGCATACCACCCTCCTTCTCTGCTTGAAATGTGGAAATACAGTCCATCTGAGCCAAAAGCAGATTCCTTTTCAGTTTCTCTGGACCCACTCTTTCCTTTGCTCTTGGGGACTATTGGTGGCCTTTCCAGTGTCATCTTTCAGTACAAAGCAAAAAAAGCTGCCTGGATGATCACGTAGAACTGGAGCTATTGCAACACCGTTATCAGCAGCCGGGGCAACCTGATAAACACAGCACCAGAGAGCGCATTGGGGGTATCTGGGGTATGGGGCAGGCTTATGGAAGAACGCATGGGTGGCCTAGGAGCTGGAAGTGGGGCTTTGCTCTCCTTCGATACTATAGCAAGCTTTTTTGGTTCCCTAATTGACCCATTTGTTTTCTATTGCTTTGGGCCATTATTCCTCCCCAAAGCAGAACCCAATTAAACACTTACGTAAGAACCAATTTGTAACAATCAGCATTAAAACCAACAGCAGCAGCAACAACAAATACTGAACAAAATCAATATAAACAAGGGTGAAAGGAACCCCAAAAAAACAAGAAATGTTGGCCATGGTTCCTTTTGAAAGGTTGAACAAGAAAGAAAGGTTTCTATTCATTTGTGAATGAAGCATCGAAGAGGAAAATAAATGAGCAGCCGATTGGGGGGCCTTTCGGAGCTACCAATAAAAAGACCCTGCTTTTGTCTGCATGAAAGCCAAAAGAGATTAAAGCAAGAAGCAGGGCTTCACCAACTGACCTCAAACTTCAGGAAGATTAGTAAGGAGAGAAGCCTATGATGAGATCACTAGGCTAGCTTTAGTAGTTGATTTCAGTGAAAAAACTGAGAAAACAGGTTATGTATATGCATGTCCCGTTTCTTAACTGAATCAGAGAGTAGACTGAAAAGCAGTCCTACTTTCAGTCTTTTGCCAAGTTCTGTAAGGTAGGGATGGGCAAGCAGAGGCCCCTTTTGTACAAATCAATAATAATAATAATAACAATAATAATAATAATAATAACAACAATAACAACAACAACAACGATGATATGAGGATTTAAAGATCGAACTGCAAAGACTCTGGCACAAACCAGTAAAGGTGGTCCCAGTGGTGATCAGCACACTGGGTGCAGTGCCTAAAGACCTTGGCCTGCACTTAAACACAATCGGCGCTGACAAAATTACCATCTGCCAGGTGCAGAAGGCCACCTTACTGGGATGTGCACGCATTATTCGCCAATACATCACACAGTCCTAGACACTTGGGAAGGGTCCAATGTGTGATCCAATACAACAGCCAGCAGAGTCTGCTGTGGACTCATCTTGTTGTGTTTCAAATAATAATGATAATGATAATGATAATAATAATAATAATAATAATAATAATAATAAATTTTACTTTTATTCCACCCTTCTTCTTAGGGGACTCAGAGCGGAATACAGCATTTACATACATAGGTAAGCATTCATTGCCTTTCTAGTCATATAAGACAGACAAACACAAACAAAGGCAGAGGCTTCTCCTTTCATTTCCGGCTTCTGGAGGCGGTTCTCATCTCTGGCTCTGGTGAGGTGCTTTCTCCATTTTCAAGCCAAGGAGCCTGCATTGTCACCTCCTGGTTGGGTGGCCGGCAAGATTGCTTGGAGTGACTCTTTGCCTTTTCCTTATGAAGCAGTACCTATTTATCTACTTGCATGTTTTTGAACTACTAGGTTGGCAGGAAATGGAGCTGACAGACAGGACCTCACCCCATCTCATGGATTCAAACTGCCAACCTGAACATGTGAACGTGTACATGCAAAATTGTGCTGACACTAAGCTAACTTCCCTCTCCCACATGTGTTATTGGAGTGGGTTGAATTGAGCTAATAATCCATATAAGTATTGTCGAAGGCTTTCATGGCCAGAATCACTGGGTTGTTGTAGGTTTTTTCAGGCTATATGGCCATGTTCTAGAGGCATACTCTCCTGACGTTTCGCCTGCATCTATGGCAAGCATACTCAGAGATTGTGAGGACCTCTGGCCATATAGCCCAAAAACCCTACAACAACCCAATCCAAGACCAACAAGTGGAGCTTGGAGATTTGTGCAAAATTAGAAACTTTGAAGTCTACTGGGGAGATAGAGTGGAATATAAATAAATTATTATTATTATTGTTGTTGTTGTTGTAACCTGAAATTTTTGCATTGATGCCTTCTGTGATCCAAATATTAAGCCTCACCATTTCCATTTATTTTGCCATCTGCTTCTGAGTTGGGACCTTCATGAAAGAAACTTGCTAGTTGGGTGGTTGTAGGTTTTTTTCGGGCTATATGGCCATGTTCTAGAGGCATTCTCTCTTTACGTTTCGCCTGCATCTATGGCAAGCATCCTCAGAGGTAGTGAGGTCTGTTGGAACTAGGAAAAAGGGTTTATATATGTGTGGAATGACCAGGGTGGGACAAGGAACTCTTGTCTGTTGGAGCTAATCACCTCTCAACAAAAGATTGCCCCAGGCACTGCCAGGCCATCAAATGCTAATCAAGGTGGTCAGTTGAAACATTCACACCTAGCTCCAACAGACAAGAGTTCCTTGTCACACCCTGGTCATTCCACAGATATATAAACCCTTTTTCCTAGTTCCAACAAACCTCACTACCTCTGAGGATGCTTGCCATAGATGCAGGCGAAACGTCAGGAGAGAATGCCTCTAGAACATGGCCATATAGCCCGAAAAAACCTACAACAACCCAGTGATTCCGGCCATGAAAGCCTTCGACAATAACTTGCTAGTTAATCCTCAAATGGAAGAAGCAGAGAGGCCTCTGGTGACCAAGGAACAGCCCAGAGCTCCAGGCAACATCTCGTAAACTATGTTCAAGGGTCAACGTACAAATAAAAACTAGCCATTTTCATCAGTTGGATGCTATTTTTGGAGCTCCACAGTCTGGCCGGATGCCTCTCGCAGACATTAACAGCCCTGCTTGATTTATTGCTCTGCTATTTCCACATCTCCTGAGATGTCTACAGATGTTGGAGAGGAGAAGCCTGGCTGAAAGCCATCTCAATCACCACCGCACTATGAAAGGCATGGAAACCAGCTACTCACAGCATCTTGAGTATTTCCACGTAGCAGGCAAGGATGCGATCGGCCTGGGCACTGAGCTCGATGGTCATGGTGCTGCAGGTGGGGCTGACCATCAAGCAGTCGATCAGGTTGGGCTCGCTGTCGTTGCCCACGTTGGCCGTCATCTTCTGGTTGGCCGTGTTGTTGCGCTCAACCTCCACGTGGATCTCGTTCGACGTGACAATGACCGACTTGAGGCGAGACTCGTTCAGCGTGGCCTCTTGGGACACCAGGTCAGGGCTCGTGTGGAGGAGGCGGAGGGGCAGGTTCGGCTTGCGGTCACAAGGCTGCTGGCAACCATTCCGAATTTCTTTCAGGCTCGGAGAATTGTCCCGGCTGCATTTTGGACAACAAGGAGAATCAAAATAATAGCAGCAAAAACAGGAGGAGAAGCAATGGTAGAATAACAGTACTAGGGACCAATCCCAATTCTGGAATACTTTGCCCAATTCCGGGCAATACAATTGAAGGGAGATGTTGACAAGCTGGAATGTGTCCAGAGGAGGGCAACTCAAATGATCAAGGGTCTGGAGAATAAGCCCTATGAGGAACGGCTTAAAGAGCTGGACATGTTTAGCCAGAAGAAGAGAAGGCTGAGAGGGGACATGATAGCCATGTATAAGTATGTGAGAGGAAGTCATAGGGAGGAGGGAGCAAGCTTGTTTTCCGCTGCTTTGGAGACTAGGATGCAATGGAACAATGCCTTCCTGACTGTGAGAGCCATTCAGCAGTGGAACTCTCTGCCCCGGAGTATGGTGGAGGCTCCTACTTTGGAGGTTTTTAAACAGAGACTGGATGGCCCTCTGTTGGGTGTGCTTTGAATGTAATTTCCCTGCTACTTGGCAGAATGGGGTTGGGCTGGATGGCCCATGAGGTCTCTTCCAACTCTAGGATTCTATGTGTTGCAACAGAATCTTGGATTTTGGTCTCTAGCCACTATGTTTGCCTGTTTATACCTAAGGAAAACAAAGATCTCCTAATGGAATTTGTATTATGGGCCAGAAGGCAAAAGGATACAGCTTGGCCTTGTAAATGACATACAGGAAATGAAATTTATAGTCCAGTTATTTACCCTGGACACGTGTAAGCAACACGCTTTTCTGGGCAGGCAGTCTCAGGAAGGGATAGAATTGGCACGAAGAAAGCTCAGACGCATTGGCCAAATGGGGCCTGCAAGGAATCAGTCTCACAGCTGAATTTTAGAATTATCTTTGGTAGTAATCCATTCATGTTTACTTTTTGTTTCTAAGTTGGGGTCTTCTGTTCAGTTCTGGATTTCTGTATTCTTATTTGTTATTGGTTTTGTAGATTATTATCATATATTAATTGCTACTTTATTCTGCTACCAGAGAGCTCCCATGATTTGGAGCTTGAAAACAGCTCAGCACAGGTGCAGAAATTAATGAGCAAATAGATAGACGGGAGGAGATTAGTCAAAACAGGAGAGCCGAACAGTGGCTTCGGTGTTCTGTCAGGCTCCGAGAGAAAAAGATAAGAGATTCTAAAGTAAAGCAAAACCAATTTCTGAGTGTTTGGAATATAGCTAACAATCAGATAAAAGTCCCAAGTACAAGATATATAGTCAAATGAAGCATCGTTTGGAATCAAGACAAATTCTCATCCTTATTTCATGGAAGCCTTGCTTGGAAGATTCATGTTTAAGTGCCTTTTGTTTCATGGTTTTGATTCTTGGATTCTATGATTTTATATTCATGCCTTGGTTTCATGTTTCCTGATTTCTTGGATTTTATTAGAGAAGTTTTGACTTTATTTACATGGACTTCGCTGGACTATTTTCCCTGGACTACTTTGTTCCTGCTTATCTTCTTACCTAATTGGACTAACCTATTTCTTTAAAGTGCTTTTTACTTTACTGCTTTTTAATTATCTTCAATAAAAGGATTGTTTTCTTACTTAACAGTGTGGTGTTTAAAGTCAGAGGGCTTTTCCTGCTCTGGAGTGCAACATCTTTAAAAAATCACAAAAGGTTTACTTACAATAATAAGAAATAACTGCATTTCTTAATAATCGAGAACTCTAACATCTATCTAAGACCTTGCTGCAATTTCCCCAGCATCCGCCCAGTATCAGTCATCTATACTCTAAGGTGGAAGCTGAGCCACATAAAGTACCTTTTGCATTTAGTGTACTGTTGGGAATCAGAAGCAAAAGTGAAAAAAGAATACGAAGGGAAAGAAAGGGCTACCAGTTCAGAGGCACAATAACTGACCTGTTGATGAACTCTTCGTAGCAAGAATAAATGGCTGCTAAACAGACTGCGACGAGATTTGGAAGGACTCTGGGATGGGGGCACTGTCCGGTCGGGCCGTGCATGCTGAAACGACATCAAAACTGTCAATGGATGAGGGGACAAACACAAGGCAACACTGTTGCAGCAAAGAAAACGCAGACAAAGTCTATGGCAGCTTTCCTCTTGGCCAGGGTGATGGGAATTGCCACCCGGTACAGCTAGAGGCTTCCAAGTTGGGTAAGTTTGGTCTATGGCAGCATTTCTCAACCTGGGGGTCAGAACCCCTGAGGGGGGTCACGAGGGGTGTCAGAGACCATAAGAATATCATCAGAAACCACAGTGTTTTCTGTTGGCCATGGGAATCCTGTGTGGGAAGTTTGACCCAATTCTATCATTGGTGGGGTTCAGAATGCTCTTTGGTTGTAGGTGAACTATAAATCCCAGAAACTACAACTCCCAAATATGAGGGACTGTTTTTCCGAAACTCCACCAGGGTTCACACTTGTGCATATTGGGCATTGTGCCAATTTTGGTCCAGATCCATCATTATTTGAGACCACAGTGCTCTCTGGATGTAGGTGAACTACAACTTCCAAATTCAAGGTCAATGCTCACCAAACCCTTCAAGTGTTTTCTGTTGGTCATGGGAATTCTGTGTTCCAGGTTTGGTTCAATTCTATTGTTGGTGGAGTTTAGTATGCTCCTTGATTGTAGGTGAACTATAAATCCCAGCAACTACAACTCCCAAATGTCAAATTCTGTTCCAGGTTTGGTTCAATTCTATTGTTGGTGGAGTTTAGTATGCTCCTTGATTGTAGGTGAACTATACATCCCAGCAACTCCCAAATGTCAATGTCTATTTTCCCCAAACTCCACCAGTGTTCACATTTGGGCATATTGAATATTCATGCCAAATTTGGTCCAGATCGATCATTGTTCAAGTCCACAGTGCTCTCTGGATGTAGATGAACTACAACTCCAAAACTCAAGGTCAGTGCCCACCAAACCTTTTGAGTATTTTCTGTTGGTCATGGGAGTTCTGTGTGCCAAGTTAGGTTCAATTCCATCATTGATGGAGTTCAGAATGCTCTTTGTTTGTTGGTGAACTATAAATCCCAGCAACTACAACTCCCAAATGTCAAATTCTATTTTCTCCAAACTCCACCAGTGTTCACAATTGGGCATATTGAGTATTCATGCCAAATTTGGTCCAGATCGATCATTGTTTAAGTCCACAGTGCTCTCTGGATGTAGTTGATCTACAACTCCAAAACTCAAGGTCAATGCCCACCAAACCCTTTGAGTATTTTCTGTTGGTCACGGGAGTTCTGTGTGCCAAGTCTGGTTCAATTCCATCATTAGTGGAGTTCAGAATGCTCTTTGATTGTAGGTGAACTATAAATCCCAGAAACTACAACTCCCAAATGACAAAATCCATCCCTTCCCAACTCCACCAGTATTCAAATTTGGGCGTATTGGGGTTTTGTGCCAAATTTGGTCCAATGAATGAAAATACATCCTGCATATCAGATATTTACATTACGATTCATAACAGTAGCAAAAGGACAGTTCTGAAGTAGCAAGGAAAATAATGTTATGGCTGGAGGTCACCACAACACAAGGAACTGTATTAAGGGGTTGGGTCATTAGGAAGGTTGAGAACCACTGGTCTACGGGGACAAGTCAAAGGGCAAAGGGAAAGGGCTGTCTATCTTTCACAATAAGATGCAAGCAGATTGGAAAAGCTACTCACTACTTTAATGTCCGGTAATGAAAAAGTGGCTGATGGAGAAAAGGGAATCAAAAGGTAAACATCCCCAAAGAAGGGCATACATCAGGGCCAGAGAAGCACCAACCTGTGAATGAACTTCTTCACCACTTCCATGCCAGCATTCAGTTCGTTCAAAGCCAAAATGTACTCCTGAGTAAAGAGCCGCAACCGAGGGCACTTCCCAAAATCCTGTCGAAAACAGAAGAGAGGAGTAATAACAAATATGGAAAGATGGATGTCAAACTCCAGGGAGAGACTGACACAGGACACTGACATGTTAGCTCAGGCATGGGCAAACTTTGGCCCTCCAGGTGTTTTGGACTCCAACTCCCACCATTCCTAACAGCCGGTAGGCTGTTAGGAATGGTGGGAGTTGAAGTCCAAAACACCTGGAGGGCCAAAGTTTGCCCATGCCTGTGCTTTGCTCTCACTTTAGGGAGAAATGCAGGACATAAATGTATAAAACCGTACAGATTTCCAACAGATTCCTCAACCTCTGAGGATGCCTGCCATAGATGTGGGCGAAACGTCAGGAGAGAATGCTTCTGGAACACAGCCAGCAACTCTCTGTCCTCGCTCCTAGCCCTCTTCTAAATATCACATGGGAATAACAGATAACGCAAAATGGCACTGCTACAGAGATTAAGGGCAAGGACGATAATATTTTGACTCACCATATTGTGTTTGAGGATTCTTTGTACAACTGGAGTGAATACTTCTATGACCACCATGGACCGGGGACGTTCTCTGCAGTGCTGCAGGAAGAAACCACATAAATCAAACGAAGGGGAGACATAGATTTCCTGCTTATCAGAGTTGGAGGATAACTAGAGTATTTCAGGAGGGTGACAGATATCTCCCCTGACTTCATCACAGAGGTGGCATCTCCCATGCATCCTCAGTGGCACTTGGGAGGGATGCCATAGTTCGAACCAGGCATGGGCAAACTTCGGCCCTCCAGGTGTTTTGGCCTTCAACTCCCACAATGCCTAAAAGCCTACTGGCTGTTCCTACTCTATTATTCTATAATTCTATGTGGCATTGACTGCACAGTTCCTTCTGTCAACTGGAGAACCGGCTGGACTTCTACAGCCCAGATATGCCAAATGTAAACAACATTTTATGAGCTCTGGAGTTCACCAAAGCAACAACAACATGAAATAGCCAGAAATACCTTGCAAAAAAATTCGCACAAGTCAGGAGGTGGGTGGTTGTTTTCCAGCAAAGGCGCAAGTGCCTAAAATAGAAAGAAAAAGATTTATAGTTGACTTTTGGCTGTTAACGAGAATAATAATAAAACATCACGATTATGCCGTATTTAAACCAAATCTCATTCTAGATATTCCAGGTCAAAAGTTTTCCCTTGACATTAAGCCTAGTTGTGTCCGACTCTAGGTGATGGTGCTAATCTCCATTTCTAAGCTGAAGAGCCGGCATTGTTCGTAGACGCCGGCTGGGTTTGCCAGGGATGCCCGGATGGGACTAGATTCTAGAATTCCTGCTTCAAGGCTGACACATCCGACTTCCATGGTTTGCAAGTATCACACACAGCACAAAAATATGCAATAAAACAATATATTACAAGCTCAACACACATGTGTTAACAACAGCGTTTCTCTACCTGGGGGTCGGGGCCCCTGGAGAGGGGGGAGGGGTTGCCAAAGACCATCAGAAAACACAGTATTTTATGTTGGTCATGGGAGTCCTGTGTGGGAAGTTTGGCCCAATTATATCACTGGTGGGGTTAAGAATGCTCTTTGATTGTAGGTGAACTATAAATCCCAGAAACTCTCAAATATCAAGGTCTGTTTTCCACAAACTCCACCAGTGTTCACAGTTGGGCATATTGAGTATTCATGCCAAGTTTGGTCCACATCTATCATTGTTTGGATCTGCAGTGCTCTCTGGATGTAGGTGAACTACAACTTCTAAACTCAATGTCAATGCTAACCACACCCTTCCAGTATTTTCGGTTGGTCATGGGAGTCCTGTGTGCCAAGTTTGGTTCAATTCCATCGTCAGAATGCTCTTTGATTGTAGGTGAACTATAAATCCCAGCAACTACAACTCCCAAATGACAAAATCAACTGCCCCCCCCCTCCAAAAAACCCCCACCAGTATTCAAATTTGGGCATATCGGGTGTTTGTGCCAAATTTGGTACAGTGAATGAAAATCCTGTATATCAGATATTTACTTTACGATTCATAACAGTAGCAAAATGACAGTTAAGAAGTAGCAACGAAAATAATGTAATGGTTGGGGGTCACCACAACATGAGGAACTGGGTTAAGGGGTCGAGGCACTGGGAAGGTTGGGAACCACTGGCCAACAGGGTTCCCATAACTGTCTTGACTGCAAGAAACGCATGCTTTCAGTGGAAATGACATTATTTGATCCCATCAGTCATCGTCACACAACATTTCATGATGAGCCAGAGTTCATACCAAGTGAGCATATTGTCATAAAGTGGAAGAGTACACGGTACTCCCCACTCTTTTCTTAATGTTGGCTGCATCTAGGCAAATCTTTGAAAATGCCTCGTGGTCTAGTCATTCGATAAAATGTTATTGTAAGGGATGTTTGGTGTTGCCGGTTGCAACAAAAAATACGACTCATTCCAATTCTCACTGATGGAAACACCAGAGCTTTCCTCCTTTTTCCCCAAAACGAATCCCTCACTTTTCTGACCACTTGCTTCACCCTTTTTCTGTCCATCTCTAGGCAACCCAATATGGTTATGGGTGGTAAAATGTATTTGGAATTATAACCACTGCGGGGGTTGTAATGAAATTATGTCACCGAGGCCTTCATTGTAAATTGGAAAGTGTTGCTGGAACAAAAAAAAAATATCTCAGTATACAAGGAAGGCCCTGGGGCTTCTCTGTCCTCGAGCTCAGCGATGGGATTCCTGGTATTGGATTAGCAAAGCAGAACTCTTTTCAAACACAACAACTGGAGCAATTTGGATTAAAGGTAACTAACACCAGTATTGTTGGGTTGCTGTAGGTTTTCCAGGCTGCATGGCCATATTCCAGAAGCATTCTCTCTTGACGTTTCGCCTGCATCTATGGCAGGCATCCTCAGAGGTTGTGAGGTCTGTTGGAAACTAAGAAAATTGGGTTTATTTTCCTAATTTCCAACAGACCTCACAATTTTCCTAGATTCTAACAGACCTCCCAACCTCTGAGGATGCTTGCCATAGTTGCAGACGAAACGTCAGGAAAGAATGCTTCTAGAATATGGCCATACAGCCCAAAAATCCTACAACAACCCAGTGATTCCAGCTATGAAAGCCTTCGACAATATACCAGCACTGTTGTTTTGAACATCACTTGCTTGGAAACCTCAGATTTGTCCTTCTGCCAAGCTTCAGAAATGTTGAAATACATCACACAACAGCCCAAATTCAAAACACTACTGGCTCTCTAGTAACACACTGTTGTTGTGTGCCTTCCACGTGTTTCTGACTCATTATGACCGTTAGGTGACCCAATCATGGCCAGATTTCAAAAGAGGTTCACCACTGCCTTCCTCTGAAACTGAGGGGAAAAAAAGACTTGCCCAAGGTCACCCTGTGGGTTTCTATGAACTCAAACCTTGGTCTTCTGTGTTGGAAATAGCAACATTCTTCAAGTCTCCACTAGTTATTTGTTATGTATATACCACGAGATGCAGAGCCAACCTTAAGAAATGGGGCCACAAAGTGGAATCCACGACATGCGAGTGTGGAGAAGAGACCACCTGCTGCAATGCACCCTGAGCCCCGCCACATGCACAATGGAGGACCTTCTTGCGGCAACACCAGAGCCACTCCAAGTGGCCAGCTACTGGTCAAAAGACATTTAATAGAATACCAAGTCTGCAAACTTTGTGTTTTGACAGGCAGTAAGGGAGCTTAGATAGAGAATCAAGGCTACTGCTTCGGGGGAAGAATTCCAGGTGTAAGCCAGGCCATGGAAAAGTGAGAATAAGAGGGACTACTGAAGGTTGAAGGAATGCTTTCATGCTTTGCTGTTCTTAATTAGGGAAAGAATGGCTTTTGCTTTTCAGATCAAGCAACTTAGCAGATAGAGAAAGGAACTCTTGCCTTGATTCCCACTTCAAGTCATGTCCTGGTCAAGTTTTGCTTTGAGTCTTGGGGATTTTACCATGAACTCAAGCTCATGAATTGTTCTTTGATTCTTGGATCACTTAAGTGGATGTTTTATTCCTCGTCCTTGGATTATTCAAGCTCACGATTTTACCCTACTCCTTGGATTTATGTTCATGCTTTAATCTTTGCATTGAAGGTTTATCTCTGGTTTGTGAGACTCCTTTTAATTCACCTATTATGATTTTTTACTCTTTAATGTGTGTGCTTTTTCAATAAACTGTTTATTTCTACTTTGGGCTTCCCGGTGAGTGCTTGAGCAAGATGAACCCTTGCTGAGATGCAACAATGATCATTTGTGATAGCTTTACTTTAGGGTGGCCATAAGTCGGAAATAACTTAAGAGATACACAACAGCAACAATTAGCTGGAAGCTGACCAAGTAATCGCACTGGAGAACCTGAAGTTTTCTAAAGAGATGCTGTCTCTCGAGAAATCTCTAGGTCGGCGTTTCTCAAACTCTGCTCCTCTCGGTGTTTTGGACTTCATCTCCCACAATTCCTAATAGCTGGTAAACTAGCTGGGATTTCTGGTACCTGAAGTCCAGGACACCCGGAGGAGCAGAGTTTGAGAAACACTGCTCTACGTCTTCCAGTATGGCTGAAAGACGTTGACCATAGAGTCGCATTGGAAGATGTAGAGACAGAAGGCTTGAATCCATGTACATTCAAATCCACATAAGTCAAAAGAGCAAATGTTAAGGTGACCACCGTGAAGTAGAAATGAGCAGAAGAGGCAAGACATGAAAATTAAATAAATAAGAAAAGAAAAGAAAACCAGGCAAAGTAAACTTCAACAAAGTTGTCAGGAAAGAGATGTTGTTCCATACTTACCACAATAATATTTTCATGTTCTTGTGGGGTGAGGCTTGCATTCTGAAAAAGGAAAAACATATGAAAAAATCAGATCTTGTTTTTAAAAAAAATCTCAATGGCATCAAATGTCCATTTACAGTCAACTCCTTGTTCAATATGGCAGGGGGTTAGAAGACAGGTTCATTCAAAGTTATTTCCCAGAGTTCATTGCTTTGCATTGTTGCACTATATAAGGGGGGCCTATAACTCCCTGCCTACAATTATACTAATTGTATTGTTTATTTTGCTTATTGCTTGTTGTTTTTACTATTGTTTGATGTTTTATCGATGTGTTGTTGGGCTTGGCCTCATGTAAGCTGCTCGGAGTCCCTTGAGGAGATGGTGGCGGGGCATAAATAAAGTTTTATTATAATATATTATTATTATACACTGGGAAACGGTCCGCATGGGCTGCCATCAAACATTCACTCTGTGTCATGTAAATATTCAAATGGAGAGATACACTGCCCCAGTATGTAACCCCCACACAGAACACACACATTGCAGAATGTCAAAGACCAGGTGCCATTGTACAATCTATATAAATAAAAATGTAATGTTCATTTGTGGGATTAAAATAACTCAAAAACCACTGGGCGAATTTGAACACAAGACACTTATCAGGCCATCATTCAGAACAACATGGAAAACACAGCAGAAGGGACTTAAAAAGCCAAAAAATAAAAAATACATTACAACGCATGTGCAAAACCACATATATATATGCAAACACACATTTACACAAATATATATACACACATATACACAAAACACATATACACAGGCTGGACCACAACAATGCGTGGCAGCGGACGGCTAGTGTGCAATATGAATCTGGAATATGCAATGCATAACTGTAATGCACAATTTTGCAATATGTGCAACTTTGCTTTCACCAGTATTGGCAGAATGCAACTGTTGTACTATGGCAAATAACTTGTCTTGCATGCAGAGTGCAACTAGCTCATGCATTAGGCTTGTGCATGGATTTGGTCTGGTTAGTTCCCTTCGGCCAATCTGGCTTGTTTGGCTCGGCCCAGCATCACATATTTTTGTCCATTATTGGACCACATGGCAGCCGATCATGGCTACTCCTCCTCTATTCGGCACCACACGGCGTGGAGAGGCTGCCTGCTGGATGCACGGAGTTTCCCTGTGAGCCCTGCCTGTTGGGCCAATCAGAATAGAAGAATGCCGTGATGTGTCTTATGCAAGCTGTGTCTAAGGAAAGGGTCCCAGGAAGGATGCCTCCTTTACCCCGTTCTTCAAATCCAGACTTCATTGAAAGGAAGAAAGGAAAAGGTCCCAGGAAGGATGCTTCCTTAACCCCATTCTTCAAACCCAGACGTCCTTGAAAGGAAGAAAGGAAAGGGTCCCAGGAAGGATGCTTCCTTAACCCCGTTCTTCAAACCCAGACTTCATTGAAAGGAAAAAAGGAAAGGGTTCCAGGAAGGATGCTTCCTTAACCCTGTTCTTCAAACCCAGATTCCTTTGAAAGGAAGATAGGAAAGGGTTGCAATAAAGATGCTTCCCTAACCCAGTTCTTCAAATCCAGACTCCCTTGTTGCTCAAACCCAGGCTCCCTTAAAAAGGAAGAAAGGGAAGGATCCCAGGAATGGAAAGGGGAGCCTTTTAACTTCCCCATTCCTGCCAATGGGTCAGATCTTTTGGCAGGAGACCAGAAATGGCTATTTGGCAACCCGCTCATTATATCAGAAGTGCACAAAAATGGACCCACGGATCTCCTGGAAATCGGCCAGCAGAAACTGATCAAGGTTCAGTCAAAATGCACAAACCTAGCATGCATAGATCACTAAAATGATGCCATTTCTTAGGTGTCAGATCTAGTACATGTTAACTATCCTTTGCTTGAAGCTGAGAGCATAAATGAAGCAACATGATTCATTTATGATCTCAGCTTCAAGCAAAGGAGAGCATAAATGAATCATGTTTGGTATGCTCTCCCATACCAAAGCTGTTCATCCAAGTTAAGGGTCCCCAATGAATATATGAAACGAATCTGGAATGAGTCAAAGTGGATGGTTCATCAAGCCTGGTCCTGTCACCTCTGCGTAGAAGTTCCAAATAGGATCCCAAGTGTTTCCCCTCCTTTTATCTAGGATCGTGAATTACAGCTATCGCAGCCTGAAATTAAGGCCTTGTGTATGGATGCAATTTATTTATTTACAGTATTTATATTCCGCCCTTCTCATTCTGAAGGGGACTCAGGGCGGATCACAATGCACATATATACGACAAACATTCAGTGCCGTTTTTGACATACAAGACATAGAGACAGATGATACAGGTCATTCAGCAGTTTCTTCCATTTCGGATCCTGGAGTTTGCTCGATTCGGCCACAGGAAAGCTGTCGCTTCATCCACTATGATGCAGAGCCTTTTGATCGTAGTATTTCCTCCTTGCTCTCCAGCGTTTTTATGGTGTCATAAATTAACCTCCCCATTTTAAGTGGTCCCTAATTTCTCTACTCACAGCACAGCTGTTTTCTAACTGCTAAGGTGACTGGAAAATGATTTTAGTAATGAGATGTTGAGGACTTATGTTTTATTGTTTTTATTGTCTCTATTGTTTTTGTATGGTTTATATTATATGTTGATGTTTTAATTATATTTTATGTTATTGGGGGCATTGAATTTTGCAGATTGTAAACCGCCCTGAGTTGCCTCCGGGCTGAGAAAGGCGGTATATAAATATGGTAAATAAATAAATACATAAATAATAGGTGAACAGTAAGCTGGGCTATTTCATAGTTGGGAGCTCAACCCCAACTCTGGCTTCAAACTCGCAACCTGTTAGATGACAGTGATTTATTTCAGCTAGTGATTAACCAGCTGTGCAAATCCAGCGGAGCACAGGAAGGAATATAGAAGACTGTAGGTTGTGGGTTGCCCACTCCTTCTCCGTCATAAAGGGTATACGTGTTTGCAGAGACGGTTGTAATAAGCATATATTTAATCAAACACATGCAGATTTACTAGTTTGATCAGCTGCTTTGCAGTTTTGTTTTAACAGGAAGGGAGGAAGGAAACTTCATTTAAAAATAATTTGGCACATAACGCGTTTTGCCAGCTGCTTGCAGAAATAGCTTCTCCAATGACTTTTTTATTCTTTGCCCAACTTGCCTCTGTGTTGTTCCCACCACCCTCAATGCAATTAATAAAGGGGATAAAAAAGTGAAATGATGTTCACAAGCTTTGGGTGACCCAACATGTTTCAAATACGGTGTCTACCAAATTAACAGCTCCAGCAATCTTTCCGGCTCAAGACCCTTCAAAAGTGGAAAAACTGCAAATTATAAAAACACAGTTTTGTTTTACCTAAGAGAACACTTCTCTCAGGGAGCATCTGCACTGCAGAATTAATGTGGTTTGATATAGAATCATAGAGCTGGAAGAGACCTTGTGGGCCATCCAGTCCAACCACATTCTGCCAAGAAGCAGGAACATCACATTCAAAGCAGCTCCGACAGATGGCCACCCAGCCTCTGTTTACAAGCCTCCAAAAAAGGAGCCTCCACCACACACTGGGGCAGAGAGTTCCACTGCTGAATGGCTCTCACAGTCAGGAAGTTCTTCCTCATGTTCAGGTGGAATCTCCTTTCCTGTAGTTTGAAGCCATTGTTCCATTGCGTCTTAGTCTCCAGGGCAGCAGAAAACAAGCTTCCTCCCTCCTCCCTATGACTTCTCCTTCCCCTCATCATGTTTCCTCCCAGCCTTCTCTTCTACATGCCCAGCTCTTTAAGCTGCTCCTCATAGGGCTTGTCTTCCAGACCCTTGAAGATTTGAGTCGCCCTCCTCTGGACACATTCCAGCTTTTTTGCTTCCATCCTTCCTTCTGTCTTTACTTCTTTCCTTCCCTCCCTCTTTCATAGAATCAAAGAGTTGGAAGAGACCTCATGGGCCATCCAGTCCAACCCCCAGCCAAGAAGCAGGAATATTGCATTCAAATCACCCCTGACAGATGGCCATCCAGCCTCTGCTTAAAAGCTTCCAAAGAAGGAGCCTCCACCACACTCCGGGGCAGAGAGTTCCACTGCTGAACGGCTCTCACAGCCAGGAAGTTCTTCCTAATGTTCAGATGGAATCTCCTCTCTTGTAGTTTGAAGCCATTGTTCTTTCTCTCCATTCTTCTCTACCTCTTCCCTCCTTTCTTCGCTCTCTTTCCTTCGCTACCCCTTTCTTTCCTTCCCCCCTCTTCTTCTCCTTTTTCTCTCCTTTCTTCCTTCTCTACCTCTTTCCTTCCTTCCTTCCTTCCTTTTTTGCTTCCATGCTTCCTTCTGTCTTTCCTTCCATACCTTTATCTCTTTCTTTCTCTTCTTCCTTCACTCCCTCTTTCCTTCCTTTCCTCTTTTTTCTTTCCTTCTCTCCTTCCTTCTTTCTCTACCCCTTTCTTTCCTTCCCCCCTTTTTCTTTTCCTCTTTCTCTCCTTTCTCTACCTCTTTCCTTCCTTCCTTTGCTCTTTGCTTCCATGATTCATTCTTTCTTTCTTTCTTTCTTTCTTTCTTTCTTTCTTTCTTTCTCCCCTTCCTTCCCTTTTTGTTCTATATCATCATTTAGCTTTTGGGGTGTGTGTTTAAGTCCTTTCCCCTTTTTTGAGGTGGGGGGGAGGGAGTGATGGTCACTAATTGGTCTGTTAGGGGTGTAGTGTCCAAATTTCATGTCATTTCATCCCGTGGTTTTTGAGTTATGTCAATCCCACAAACGAACATTTTGATTTCTATCGACAAGGGGGAGAAAGAGATTACCTCTGAGAGCAACTTGGAAACGATCTCCAGAGGCGCTTGATGGATGGACTCGTCCTGCAAAGGAGACGTCAGCGCCATGTCCACCAACGTGCGGATCTCCTTCAGAACCACCTCTAAGCGGCTTGGGTTGCTCAACACCTTCTTGTACTTGTAGATTTTTTTCTAGGATGAAAAAACACACAGGTTCGGGTATTAAGGTAAAAGGAATAACACTGGGGAAATGGCAAGATAAGCACTTCCCACGGAACACAAGACAGGCATGCTGTGTTTTTAAAAAATTGCTGCTCGTGGATCCATAAAGTGTGGTGGGAGAGCTACAAAGAAGAAGGAACGTCTTATTTTGTTTCTGACGAGGAGGTACATCGCAGCACATTTTTCCCAGAGTTCTAGGAAAGAGAAATGATATAGACCAGCGTTTCTCAACCTGGAGGTCAGGACCCCTGAGGGGGTCACGAGGGGGTGTCAGAGGGGTCACCAAAGACCATCAGAAAACATAGTATTTTCTGTTGATCTTGGCCCAATCTATCGCTGGTGGGGTTCAGAATGCTCTTTGATTGCAGGTGAACTACAAATCCCAGCAACTACAACTCCCAAATGCCAATGTCTATTTCCTCCAAATTCCACCAGTGTTCATATTTGGGCATGTTGAGTATTTGTGCCAAGTTTGGTCCAGATCTATCATTGTTTGAGTATGGATATAGGTAAACTACAACTCTAAAACTCAAGGTCAAGGCCCACCAAACACTCCCTGTATTTTCTGTTGGTCATGGGAGTTCTCTGTGCCAAACTTGGTTCAATTCCATCGTTGGTGGAGTTCAGAATGTTTTTTTATTGTGGGTGAACTATAAATCCCAGCAACTACAACTCCCAAATGACAAAATCAATCCCTTCCCAACCCCACCAGTATTCAAATCTGGCCGTATCAGGGATTTGTTCCAAATTTGGTCCAATGAATGAAAATACATCCTGCCTATCAGATATAAGTTTGGTTCAATTCCATTGTTGGTGGAGTTCAGGGTGCTCTTTGGTTGTGGCTGAACTATAAATCCCAGAAACTACAACTCCCATATGACAAAATCAACCCCCCCCCAACCCCCCCAATATTCAAATTTGGGCATATTGAATATTCGTGCCAAGTTTGGTTCGGATCCATCATTGATTGAATCCATAGTTCTGTCTGGATGCAGGTGAACTACAACTCCCAAAACTCAAGGCCAATGCTCACAAAACCCTTCTAGTATTATCTGTTGGTCATGGGAGTTCAGTGTGCCAAATATGGTTCGATTCCGTTGTTAGTGGAATTCAGAATGCTCTTTGATTGTAGGTAAACTAAAAATCCCAGCAACTACAACTCCTAAATAACAAAATCAATCCTCCCCCAACCCCAGCAATATTCAAATTTGGGCATATCGGGTATTTGTGCCAAATTTGGTCCAGTGAATGAAAATACATCCTGCAGATCAGATATTTACATTACGATTCATAACAGTAGCAAAATTACATTGAGAAGTAGCAATAAATATATGGTTTGGGGTCACCACAACATGAGGAACTGTATCAAGGTGTCGCTGCATTAGGAAGGTTGGGAACCACTGTTCTAGAGGCATTCTCTTGATGTTTCACCTGCACCTGTGGTGGCGGGGGCTCTACAAACCAGGAGAGGATTCAACGTCATAATTCCTTATGCATCCTTGGATTGACAAAAGATGGAAGCGTAATTCAGTCCACCAAAGACAAGTCTAGGAATGACCTGAAATACTCATTCTTAAGAATACAGCAACAGAAATCTCAATTTGGGAGACCATCTACTACTACCCTATTTGCCTAGTTGCACGTCAACAACTTAAATCAAGAAAAAGTTTTCTAAGATCCACAGAGACACTCGCTGGAACACCTCAGCAAGCGAGAGTCCAAAAGTGTCAGGCTCAAACCCAGAACCTCAATCAATGGCTGATACCAAATGAGAGACTCCCCCTGGGCACACAAAACTGGCGACTTGGAAGGCGCTGAACAGACTGCGCTCTGGCACCACGAGATGCAGAGCCAACCTCAAGAAATTGGGCCACAAAGTGGAATCCACGACATGCGAGTGTGGAGAAGAGCAAACAGACCATCTGCTGCGATGCAACCTGAGCCCTGCTACATGCACAAGGGAGGACCTCCTTGCAGCAACACCAGAGGCACTCCAAGTGGCCAGATACTGGTCAAAGGACATTTAATCAACTACCAAGCTTGCAAATTCTGTGTTTTGTCTGTTTGTTTTGTTGAAAATGTAATACAACTGTTTGGTTTGCTCCTGACATGATAAATAAATAAATAAAATACTGTGTTTTCAAATGAGCAATGGAAGACAGGAAGAAATGCAAAACCAGGGATGCAAATCCATTCCTGCCCTCTGAATGCCCTCTTGTCCTAGGGAAACGACAACAGCCTTTTTCAGAGACTTTCCCTGAGCCAAACCCAGAAAGTGGGCCATGCAGGGCAAGCATCCTTTCATTCATTCAAAGCAGAGAGCCGGATACTTTACCCCACAACGCCCATCCGTTCTGCCCAGCATGCCCAATGAATCCCAAAACAATCAACATTCCCTGGCATGAAACCCCAAATCCCAGCTCATTTCTGAAAAGGTTCCTAGGGTACATCGACACTGCAGAATGAATGTAAGGTTGACACTGCTTTCACTGCTATGGTTCAAAGCTAGGGAGTCATGCGGCTTCTTTAGCATTCTCTGCCAAAGAGGGCTGGTGCTTCAACAAACTACAACTCCCATAGTTGAGTAGTGTCAAACTGCATTCCTTCTACAGTGGATGCAACCAAAGAGTAGATGCACCCAGGAGCCCTTGGTGGCACAATGGGTATATCCTTGTGCTGGCAGGACTGAAGATCTACAGGTTGGAGGTTCGAATTCAGGAAGAGAGCAGATGAGCTCCCTCTGTCAGCTCCAGATCACTATGCGTGGACATGAGAGAAGCCTCCCACAAGGATGGTAAAACATCAAAACATCCAGGCATCCTTTGGGCAACATCTTTGCAGACGGGCAATTCTCTCACACCAGAAGCAACTTGCAGTTTCTCAAGTCGTTCCTGACACACAAAAAAACCCCAAAAATGCGAAATGCAACAAAATGCAGCACCCAAACATGACTACTGCAGACTACTATAACCAGAGAAGTCAGCCATAGTAGAGCAACTGATGAACCAACCTGGACACTGCCCTGTGCAATCTTTTGTGTTTTAATGTTTTATTTTATATTGCAGTGTCGCTTATTATATTGGTTTTGCATTTTATGTATTTTATTTTCTGGTTTTGTTATGCTTTTGTGTTATATTGTGTTTAGTGTACTGGTGGGCATGGCCTCATGTAAGCTGCCCCGAGTCTCCCTGGAGGAGATGGAGGCAGGGTATAAATAAAGTTAGTATTATTGTTGTTATTATTATTATTATTATTATTATTATTATTATTGAACACAGAAATGCTGGACCACTCTAACAACCACCATGTCAGATGACACAGAGAAGCCATTGAAATCCATAAGCATGTGGACAATGTCAACAGAAAGGAGGAAGCCATGAAAATGAACAAAATCTGGCTACCAGTATTAAAAAAAAAATCTCTAAAATCATAACAGTAAATAAAGAACACTCAAAAACAGAGGAATTCCAGACAGGAAACAAGCAGGGCCAGCTAATCACCTCCTAACAAAGGATTCCCCCAGGCAGTAAGAAGCCAGACCTTGAAACTGTTAAGCCATCATAACAATAAAAAAAAGTAAATCATAACAGTAAATAAAGAACAACAGTCAAGAACAGGGGAATTCCAGAGAGGAAACCATCAGGGCCAGCTAATCACCTCCCAACAAAGGATTCCCCCAGGCAGTAAGAAGCCAGATCTTGAAACTGCTAGGCCACCATAACAGTAAATGAACGGTAAATCATAACAGTAAATAAAGAACAACAGTCAAGAATAGGGGATTTCCATACAAGAAACAATCAGGGCCAAATAATCGCCTCCCAACAAAGGATTCCCCCGGGCAGTAAGAAGCCAGATCTTGCACTTTCCTTGCGCTCCCTTCAGGATGTATTGCACTCATGGAGCCTGAACCTCAGCTATGTTCTTTTTCTCAGCCATATTGTTTTGATGTTGTTTACAATGTGATTTTAAAAAATATTTTATCTGATGTTTTTTAATTGGTTGTGTTCTATTTGCAATTTTTGGGCTTGTCCCTTGTAAGCCGCCCCGACTCCACTTGGGGATGGTGGGGTATAAAAATAAAGTTGTTATTATTATTATTATTATTATTGAAAACTGCTAGACCATTAAATGCTAATCAAGGTGGCCAATTGCTACATTCACACCTACCTCCAACAGACAAGAGTTCTTCCTCCCACCCTGGACATTAATCCACAGATATATAAACACCATTTTCCTAGTTTCCAACAGACCTCACAACCTTTGAGGATGCCTGCCATAGATGCAGGCGAAAGGTCAGGAGAGAATGCTTCTGGAACATGGCCATACAGCCCAAGAAACTCACAACAATCCTGCAAAATTATGGTTCTGTTTTACTTGCAAACTGGATGAGGGAGCACCAGGCTCACTGCTTTGCAAGCAATATTTCTCTCCCCTTTCTCTCCACTCTCGGAGGTGTTCCCATTTATATTTCTGTTTCATTTGTTACCAAGCAGTGGGCACTAATGACTTTTATCTTGCTCACAGTACAGGTTGATGTGATGAGTTTTCCAGCGGCTAATGCAGCGCCGAGGCTTTGCGAGAGCTCCATGCCTTGCCCGTGTTTATTTGCTCATCAATCAATCCCTTCTTCCCCAGATGGCATCCTCTTTATAGGCTTCGGAATAAAGAGATGCAGTCAGCTCACTCTCTACCCCAAAATGGATCAGATAACCTGGTTTGGACCATAAAAACAAAGGAAGTCATGATAAACCCTCACTTTACAAGATCCAGATGCTGATTGGGGATTCTGGGAACTTGCCATCCAAAAAGGGGAACTTCACTGAACAGATTACTTCTGTTCTGAACACAGCCTTCCTGAGCTTGCGGGCTTTGGGAGAATGATGGGAGCGCAGATGTCATAACATTGATCGGTTTTCCGATTGGATCTCCATTACTGGATTTCTCCTTACAGTTTTATGGGTCTAAGATTC